TTAACACACGTGATTCAATTAGGCTTGATTTACCTGCGAAACAATCGGATAGAAAACATTCATCTGCCTCATATTCATTAGGATAATCTTGGACTTGATTTGGATTCTCTGTCTGTGCAAACTTCACTTCTGGGCAAACTGGTTCTCTGGTTGCTTCGGAAAATTTTGCTATCCTCTCTGTATCATTATACCCCTGACTAGGGATTCTATTCAACATGCATTGTTCGTGAGAGTATCCAACATATGACACAATAACATCAGAAATATGACTAGAATTCAACTCATAAGAAACATATTTTTCACATTCATGAGGAATATCATTAGAGATAAATTCATTATGAGGACCACTGACACTTGATATGATATCAGAATTCGATTCTTCTGAAATATTTTCCTGAAATTGATTAAGAGTTTCATTAGGTAATGGATCATCAGGGAATTCAACATCTACCATGACTGAATTTGGTTTTTGATCATGATTTGACTCATTTAACATTCTATTCTCAGAGTTGTAAGAAATTACATCAGAAGTATGTGAATTATTACGACAAACCATATCTGGCACAATAACATGAGAAATCTGATAAGTTGATTGGTTGAGAATTTTCGCCTCCCAATGACTCTGGGTTTCATTCAACTCTGGACTGTTATATAACGTTATACCTCTTCTAGATAAAGATAACTGATCATTAGAAGCATCCATCTTAGCATTACTTTCAGCGAAATGAACCATGGTATTACAAACTGACTGAATATGTCCAGTTATACCACATTTAAAGCATTTAGAATTACGAAATATACATGAATTACATGGGTGAAACTTGCCGCAGAACATGCATTTACTAAACTTGTGCTCATCATCATGGACTGTTTCACAACTCAATGAAGTATTATCTGAATAAATTTGATTACGCATCGAACTACGACGACTGTTTGAATAAGTGGAATTCCTGATGTTCTGACGAGTCATTTTATCGGATTTTCCTTTCTTACCGCATTCGGAATTTGTATACTTTACATGATCCAACAGAAGTTGCTTGAGAGTTGCATAGGGGAGTGAAATCGGTTTGTCTGGAAGTGCCAAAATCTTTATAAGGCTGTATGCTTCTTTCCCGATGAATGTAAGGAAATGGGCCACAATATTAAAATCCTCATCATCTTCCTTGGTCATAGCCCAGATTTCGAACCTTTCCATGTACTCCTCAAAAACATTAAAATCTGAATTTATATTTAACCGTTCCATCACAGGCTCAATCGCGACGCCAATATGATAATTAGAAGTATTTGAATTGTAGTATGAACTAGTAATCCCAGGAATAACGCAATTTAATCAAGAAGTATCAGATGAGCCCGAACGAATGTATTGTATTTGGAATTCAAAATTACAACAGTCATCAATACTAAGAAGTCATTGATTTATTTAAACATCACAATTCGCCTATTGATGATGACTCTACTCTATCTTTGTCTAAAATCGATTCAATTGATCATGAAAATAAACAAAATGATGGTTTGTTTCATTCAATCAACAGTAATGGATTTTAATATTTGTGGAAAACAACGATCAATACAAATCCAGAGTATCTTTTACTGTTAATTCATTCTTAATACGCAGTTTTGTGGACGTCAACAAATTTCAAACAAGGACAGTGAGATTCAGCAGGGTAATTGATATCCCAGGTCCAGTTACGAAGCAACAAATGAGCCGAATTGTACACTACAAAACAGAGGAATCTTAATTAACGCTTTTCTCATTGATTTCGCAAATTTACTGCAGCAAAAGACGACTCGAATACGAGAAAACCTGATATTCGTGCAACACGACGGACACTCGACAGACCCTCAGCAACTCAAATTCGGAGTGACGGCCTCTTGTCACGACGTCCAAAGTCGTTAAAACGTAACAGCGGGCGGCTCTGACTTATTTTACCGTGACTGTGGTGGACCTCAGCGAAAGAGCTTAGTTAAAATATAACAACACGCAAAGTAACCAACAATATACCAAAAGAATTAAAACTACAAACCTAAGCGTGTGTCTATGATTAACGCAAAAGTTAACAAATTACAGTTAAATTATAAAAAGGTATGTTGAGCAACAAAATAGTAACAGTGTTATGAAATGAATGTTACTTGTAAGCTGCTTTCTGAGATAACAACCACAAATAAGTTCACTTGGTTAACAAAGGTTCCTCTGCACGTGATGGCACCAACAGCAAAATGAAGAAGATTAGGTCCAGTAGTATTATTCAGTAATGATCCGGGCCAAAGCTCCAATGTAGAGTGGAATGGCCTAAAAAGGATATCATAATACTATTATAATCTTCAATCAAAGGCCGTGACCGTTAAAGCAGAAGAATAGACGGCGGATACAACGCTTATATTTTAAGAATCGCGGTAGTGAAGTCGTGTTATATATAACCAAACAAAAGTATTCGTTTCTTTACCATTGATACAGAAAAACAATAGATATGGAATATAAGTGTGGTTACATAAAATGTGTGACAACTAGGAAAAATATGTGATCTTTAATTTGTTGTTACAAAAAATCACTAGATATAAATGTCACTATATGACTTCTTTGACGCTGGCCTAAAAGGAATAGTGCAGTACGCTATCTTTCTGTCAAATCTTTCAGAGGAAAATACATCATAAATAGAAGTGCAGAAAAAATGACACTGGCCTTAGAATTTGTCTCTAGAATAACATGTTGAATCATTCCTTCGGAGCGGTCGTTTCGAATGCTCACGGTACAAAGATGAATTTTCATGTGAGCTTCCTAGTGTTGGATGTTGATATTTGATTTTTTTTCCGGTATTTTGAAGTACTACTGTGTATCTCAAACATTCTGGAAAGTGTTTTTGGAGTGTTACTTGACTAAGTTTTACCAAATATATAAATTAGGTGTCAAACCGTATAATGTAGATACATATTTGAGCTGTGCAAATGTGTAAATAACTGCTCAAGAGCCAACTGTAAAGGAAGTATCGTAAATGGTGGCTTTTCACACAAGAGCGCTCTTCTGGGTACATCGCCAATGGTGAATCGTCTGATTACGAGATTTTTGATTTCGAAATATTGACGAGAAAAATGTTTAAATTGTTTCAGTCCACTCTTTTCGTAAGAAAGTTAGCGGGTTCCTTGAAATATTTACCTGATCGTTCTCGAAATTTGCATGCGTAATGTAGTATTGGCTTCTCATAAGTGTAGTCTGTTTCGGGTTTGTCATCTAAACTTGTGTACAATTATGATGTGAACTAACTTGGCTTTCGGTGTTGCAGAATAGAAACTTGAGTTACCAATCACAAATTTGTACAATTGGCTTTGGGACGCAGATGTAATGACTAGTGATATTACGCCAATACCCGAACCGAATGGGAGCGCGGCCCCAACCTTAAGCCTGCTTGTTGTATGCTGTTTTCATCAGCTACCAAGCTGTCGCACTAATGTCATAAGGTTTCACATTTCCAGCGCTTGTTCTAAAGCACAAATGTATGTCGATGTGAGTGTGATTTCACTGGCTTCTATGCCTTATGTTTTTAAGCACGAGAAACTGTAATGTCCGTTACTATGTTAAGCCCACAAAACTTATTCTAGCTTCCGGACAGGCCGATCTATCCACTCTTCTTGAGTCATGTCCTGACCTTGCTAATTATTCATTTATCAACCCTGGCTGCTTTTATATGGGCGTATATGTGTGTATATCTTATCCTACTCATCACATGTCTGTAGCTTATTTTTGCGTCTATGAATATTGATTAATGCTTGATTAAATCGAGTTGACTCATACGCCTCCTCCATTGTGTGTCATCTCGCTTCACTTCCTTTACCCCGTTTATCTGATTGTCTGTTCCGATCAACGTTTATGCAAAATATACTTATTCGAAATCCATTCTTGTATTCGAATTATTTTAATTCTGTTATCATTTATTAGCATTGTTACTGTCTATCCAACTTCCGTCCCTTATATATATGTTAATTTATTTGTGTACAACTCATTGTAACTACATTTTAGCTAACTTTATTCATCTAAAATGAGACAAATTCGGCCACACAAGCTCACTGCTTCCAGATGAAGTAGCAGATAATGTACGAGAGGTCCTAGCTAAGCCGAATGCATAAAAGCCATATGACCTACCAAATTTGTGATAAAAGCCTTCTCGTTAACCGACCGACAAGCCGTCGAGCAGCTTCTCGGTCAAGTGCAATTAGGGGACAGGACTCCACAGCTAAAAATTAAAATTAGCAGCAGCCTCCGCATCGATAGATCTCCACATTCACAAAGGAAAAAGCAAGATTCTCAAATGCAACACGGAGAACACCAACCCAATCACACTTGACGGCGAAACTCTGGAAGAGGTGGAAACATTCAAGTACCTGGGGAGCATCGTTGATAAACAAGGAGGATCGGATGCAGATGTAAAGGCGAGGATTGGCAAAGCAAGGGCAGCATTTCTACAATTGCAGAACATATGGAACTCAAAACAACTCTCAACCAATTTCAAGGTCAGAATCTTTAATACGAACGTCAAGACAGTCCTACTGTATGGAGCTGAAACGTGGAGAACTACTACGGCCATCATCAGGAAGGTACAAGTATTTATAAACAGTTGTCTACGCAAAATACTCAACATCCATTGGCCGGATACTATCAGCAACAGCGTTTTATGGGAGAGGACAAACCAGCTTCCAGCTGAAGAGGAAATAAGGAAAAGACGTTGGAAGTGGATCGGACATACATTAAGGAAATCACCAATGTGCATCACGACTCAATCCCTAACTTGGAATCCGGAAGGGAAGCGGAAAAGAGGAAGGCCAAAGAACACACTACGCCGGGAAATAGAAGCCGATATGAAAAGGATGAATAGCAACTGGAAAGAACTGGAAAGGAAGGCTCAGGACAGAGTTGGATGGAGAATGCTGGTGAGCGGCCTATGCTCCTCGATGAGGGGTAACAGGCGTAAGTAAATAAGTAAGTAAGTAATCAATATTCATAGCCGCAAAAATAAGCTACAGACATGTGATGAGTAGGATGATATACACACATATACGCCCATATAAAGGCAGCCAGGGTTGATAAATGAATAATTAGCAAGGTCAGGACATGACTCAAGAAGAGTGGATAGATCGGCCTGTCCGGAAGCTAGAATAAGTTTTGTGGGCTTAACATAGTAACCGACTCTACAACTTAGTTAGTTTTTGATTGAAGCAGAGTCTTGGCGCACCAGATTAAAACTTTACAATTGCAGGTTTGTCGTGTTAGATTGTTTGTTCATTTCACAATCATTAGCGTGGAATTCAGTTTCATTTAAAATAATCTCAAAAGTAAGCTTGATGAATTTCTTTAAGATTCTCTGTAACAATTTATATTCACTTCTGTCGTTTTTCATCATAATCACTTTTTGTGCTGCTCATGAAGTAAGAGATCTAACTAAAGTAGATAGTTTTATTGTAGTTTTCTAAATAATATGATAATATATGTCTTACACTTCATTTTTCATCATTTATTAACATTTTATTGCATCATGTTGCTTAATTATGTGTGGGCGTTTCGAAAAAGTTTTAAACTTTTTGAAATATGACGAATTTTCTACATACTAACTAGGTGTTTTACCAATTAATTGTCATCCAACTAGTTCTGCTATGAGGTTTGGATTAGGTAGTATATAAAGTAAAACCCTACTTTATGCTTGTTTTCTTGCTTAATATGATATTTTGGCTTGTAGTATATTTTTTGTTTTGTTGTGCTGAAATTAGCTTTCATTCTGTGTACTCATTTCCTGTCCCAGCAGCATATGCTGTTGAGCTCATTTTCATTGCAAACTTCATTATGACTTTCGGTTTATCTATATAAAGTCTACGTTTCTAGCATCTGTATAACATTGAGCGATATAACGCCTACCACTGTTTTAGATACAGTAGTTCAAGACGAAATTGAGGGGTATGCAAACTCGAATGTATTCAATCTGAGTGGTTTGTGTTATGAAAATTTCATCTAAGCATAGTGTAAAGATGTTGTTTTATTGTGGTTTATAACTTTGACAGTTTCATGATGGCATGTGGAATTATTCTTCCTTACGTTTGTTTACAGAATTGACCTGTCTGCTTTGGATAATTAACTAATCGGATGCTAGTGGCTGTAGGACGGCTTTATCAACATAAACATTATTATTGATATACTGATAAGTTTCTGAAACTAAGTTGGTGAAATACTATTTTGAAACATGTGTTTAAGGGTTTATACACTTGGGTCGCTAATTAACTTTTGACTCGACAAGTTAAGGTAAATTCGTCAACGACATTAATTGTGGTCCCGCAGTTAATCAAATTTACAATACACTATTCTGCATCATCTAAAATGAGAGTTCTATATTGTCAGCAGTATTTTAAGAACATCCCCAACTCTTCCTTTATTTAATCTAGTCGTTTTCGTCATCGTTAAATTGATATCGATATTCCAATGTCCTGTGAATTTCATAAGTGATATCATCAAGGTTGCAAAACGGTATGAAAAGGGAAACAAGTCTAAATATTCTCATAGTTGTATGTATTTTGGATATCGAGTTGGAGTTTCAGTGTTGGTCACAGATATTTAAAGTAAGGCTAAACTTGTTACTTTTCAAACAGAAATAAAGATATATACGTCAACACCTTAATTTAAATTCTTGTAATCTGTGAAAGCAGTGTGTTTCTTTAATTTTATTGGTTTGTCAGTCTCTTTGAAGCAATCCCTAAAGGTTGGTACTATATAAATATGTATATAAGATTCTTGATATCAAGTGACTTCATTATTATTAATGTTTTTAAAATCATTTATTATTTTGCAAAGCTCAGAAGATTTATAGATATACTGATAGTTAACGTCATATATAAATATATTACATTAATCCACATTTAAAGTTTCCTAGATTTTCAAGTTAGAATGTTTGTTTAATTACGATAACGGAACAAAAAATCCGAGTAATCGATTTATTGAAAAACTTGAATTTCCACCAAAAGATTATGAGTTCGAACTCCAACCTAAATGTCAGAGTTAGAACAGATATAGTTGATGGTTACGATATGGGAGATGGACGTGTATACAGTTCCTGTGTGTTGTTTTGCACGCCGTTTATCTTGATCCTATCGATACCTATTTCGTTTGGCTATTTTTAGTCGAGTGACACAGTATTCCGTTCATTTTTTATCCCATGAGCCTTTTGGATATAGATTCATCTCTTCATTAATATGTCAGTCAGTCGGTCAGCTACAACGTAGGACCAGGCACATTTATGCATCGGTCCAAGTTGCCATACCTCGGTAGCACAACAAGATGAACACCGGATTCATAGAAATAGTTAATTTAGTGGTAGCAGTATTTAAAAGATAGGTTGTATGTAAGGATATAGTATATGAAGGAAGAAAGTTATGAAACAATTTTAATCTTAAGGTTTAAGGAAAAATAAAGAGTGTATACACCTACACCATTGTGATCGATTCTGAGCCATGTCAGATAGAGTCTCCAACCATTGGTTACGATAGTCACGCGGACCCCAACCAGGTACTCTGCATCTACCAACATGGCTCGGACTAGAAGTTAGTGACTTCGAACACTGATGCCACGTTTTGGTTTGGCCGCCCCTAACTCTTTTCCAACCATCACCTACACTAGTCAGCATAGCGCGTCGTGGTAATCGGTGTTCAGGCATACGTAACACGTGGCCATTAATATGTAATCCAAATCACCTCTGTTTATTATGCTAAACAGTTTGCCGTTAACTGAATATAAATTTCATACTGAAGATGACAAATAAACTTTTTACTTGTCATGACATAGTTATCGGTCTTGTGATTTGTAATATGACAAAACTTTTTGTCGATTATCTTCGATATTTTTTGTTTCCAGAAGGATAATATTAGTTTTGGGTTTTTGTTAACGTTTTTAACTTTATTTTAAAATATAATATTATTCCTCCTGCCACACTTCAACATTGAAGTTATTAAAATCGATCAATTTGCATTTCTGGTCATGAGCAGTTTCCGAATCTGTTTCGGGGATAATATATTATCCTTATTTTTAAGAAAATGGTGAGACCAACTTTTTCGCAGATGCTTATACTTTAGTTCAGATTTGTCCAAAATGCACTGTTTTTTTGTGGATCTTACTTTCTAATTTCCTACTAAAATTTATCTACTCGTTTAAGGCAGTTGTGAAATTATGTCTCAGAATTGTGTTATGTTCTGTGGAGATTTATGAATGGTAACTTTGAGAACTATTTATGGACCAACATGATATGTATATTTCCTATTGTATAATTGTTAAGTAACTAAACTATTCATATTCGTGTCCTCCCTATCGTAAGCTTTGTTTTGACCCATAGAATATTATTATACGATTTACCATTCTTGAGTTATCCCCAGTCTATTGATTACTGTCCCCCCTATTCACAGCCACATTTGTCCAAATCTTGTACAAATGTTATTTTCTATTTTATGTACGATGTGGTCAGTTTGTTTGAGAATAATGGTTCATATTGCAGAGGCTGTTATTGGTGTTCTGAACTTAACTGGCTAGGTGTTATATCTTGTGACTGAGTGGATGACTAGTTGATGTGTGACGCGATAAGCGCCAAACAGGGAGCAGCGAATTATCGATTGGAACAGTGACACACGAAACCGTACGAGCAGACTAGAGTGCTAACCGATTTTGCGATCTGCCTAGCCCAACCAGTTAAGTCCAAAACACCAATAACAGCCTCAGTGATATGAATCATTGTATTTCAAACATACTGAGTTTATATACCAACCAACAACCATATCGACCCATAAAATAGGTAATAACATTTGTACAATATTTAGCCGAATGTGACTGTGAATAGTTATCAATAAACTGATGATAACTCAAGAATCGTATGATAATAAGTCAAAGGTCAAAATAAAGTTAATAATAAGAGAAATACGTATATGAATAGTTCAATTACGTAGTAATTGTACAATAGGAAATAGGCATATTATATTGATCCATAAATAGACCTAAAAGTTACCATTCGTAATTCACCGGGGGATATAACTCTAGGCTAAGCAGAAAGCAGGACTGATAGGTACTCAAGACTGCTCATACGGCTTTTGTGTATCATTGCTCTGATCGATAATTCACTCCTCTCTGATTAGCGGTCTTAAAACGTCATATATTAACAGGGCACGCACTCACTCGATATAACAATATGATTTGTTGGATCGAGTTCCTTTTTTCTTTATCATGTCTATAAGCGGGATTTTTTATAAATGCGAACGTAATTTATATTATCTTTTTTATAGTTTTGAAATATACTTCTTTCTGTAATGTTTTTCTGTTGGGCATAGTTTTTTTATTGCGTAGAAACTATCCTTTAATTCACCAAAACTCGTGTTGTATGTCGTTTATACTTTCTTCACATGTTCATTTTATTCTCTTTGCTCAAGGCTATATTTTTAAATTTCGTTATTGCATCTTATTTCAGATTTTATTTGTTTTCAAAGTTGGCCATTCTGTACAACGAAAACCTAAACCTGTTAATGGTCGGACACATCATTGGAGGTGTTATGTAGACAGCTGGAATCCTCGTTATCCTTTGTCAGCATTTGTGAAGAAAGTCACTTTTAAACTACATAATACATTTGAAAATCCAAGACAAGGTGTCCGCTTGAGGTTGTTTTATGTATATGTGTATGTTTATGTCGCCTAGTTCTAGTCACTCCGCATAGATAGGTGGGAAATATACTCTATATTTACGTTTTGAAGTCCTTATTACCTCTTTGTGATTATTGTTTCTTGGCTTGTGGGCGCAAAGTTAGATCTAATCGTTCCACGTCTCATGGTTATCACATTCTCACGACAAATTTCCACTGCTTGCAAGTATACTTAATAACCAAAGCATTTTCATCAGTAGTGAAATATGAAGTTTGATCTATTGGGAGAACTAAACTTTCAGTATTCGGTTATGAGTGTCTTTGAATCAACTTTTACGTACTTTGGTGCTAGCAAAATATCAATGACAAGGCTGCAAGTAGAGTTTCAATGAAGAGGAGCCAATTAATGTAATTGCGAATTGTCAGTGACTAAATCATCTGAGATATTTATCCGCATCCGACCATCGGTTATCTCGATTTACAATATCGAAAGTTTTAATAATGGACTAGTGAAGGTCAGTCCAAGTTATCTCATCATTCTATAAAACTAATGACTTCAGATCTGAACGCTAACGAGTCAGTCATTTAATATTTAAAAAGTCAATGGTCTAAGGCTTTAAGTGATATAGCTCAAAATAGGTTGTAAATTCACTTGTTTTACATCTTGAACATATTATTTTCTGTTTATTTATTTGTCATTCGCTTCTCCGTATTAATGTTAATATATTTCCCCTTTCCTGTTGTTTTTTGTTATGCATTAAAGTATATCTTTCCGATTTGATACACAACTGTTTCAAGCTCCGTCGTTTTCTATTCGTCTGTTTGGACTGAGAATTTATAGATGAGCCCTGATACTCATAGGTTTACTGAATCCAGTTTTTCACATGTTGATACAGGTCCATAGCTTGATTCATATCTTTCCCTTGGTATTAACATGATAAACTCAGAAGTTCAATCATACATGAGCAGTGCTCGGAAGATATTGCAGATTGTAATCCGCTATACATACCATACCCTCGGAAAAAATATCACTGTATAGCTCGTCCCTTAATAAAAATATATAGTACTTATTAGCTTGAAAAATAGGGTTCTTAATCCACACTATCCCGTCAATTATTATCGTCTTATAAGATCATTTACACGTCTCATTTGAATGAAAATATCCTAAGGCTAGTTGGTCTTGACATTTAAATCATTTCGTCTATGTCAATTCATTTAGTTTGATGAGTTTGTTGAACACATTCAATCGGTAGTTGATTGCAAAATAATGTATTTGAGTTCATTATTCAATTGTTGTGAGAGTGTAGAATATAGTATATTGGTTTAGGATAATATTCCTCACACCGTTGATATATAATAAAATAAGCTCAGATGACGTCCAGTTTTATGATTCTAATTATTTTAACACAAGATTTCATTGTGTTCATGATAAGCTTAATTATATGCCGTTTTTTTATAGTTGTGCGACAAGCTCCGTTCGCTATAGAAGAAGATGGTTTTGGAACATTCCAGCTTCAGATCGAAGTCGCATTCCTTGACTGTGTCACCACATTTTACTATGATTTAACACTTTTTGATCAGAATGCTTTACACACATATCGTACGATACAAATGGATCCCGCTCCTGAAGATTGGAGTAAACTCATTCAACTTGGAGGGGTAAGTTAGTTCTATCATTCCTGTGAATAGTAAATTTTACGATCATTAATTTTTTAAAAATTCTTTTTCGGTATATATATTAGCTGAAATACCTGTGTTTTTGTGCTCCAATATGACACAGAAAGTAATTATCAATAAATTATATATTTGTAATATCCCAATGAGTAGAAAAATTAGATTTTCTGACGTTTCGTGACTCAGTGTAAGCCACTTCTTCAGAGAATAAATAACCAAATTAATATTAATCCAAGTTTAAATAGTACAACGGAACAATCAAAGAATATTAGGTGATCAATCAAAAACCGGTCTGAATAAATCAATGTCACGTCATTTCATTTCGTTCAAAGTGATTCATAAGGGATATGTATGTAATTTTGTGTGTATGTATGCATTGTTAATGACGAAAAATGTGTGACCTTTGTAATGACAAAGGATAGAGTTTAATTTGTAATGTAATGGTGTGAGATTGTAAATAATATTAGACTGGTTGACTAGGATAGATAGTCCAAGTGGGATGTATGGTAAGGCCTTCTTTTCTATTGAGGGCCGTAGGATTAAGCATTATATGGAGAGCTTCTGCTACTCTTCTTTCTTCGTAGTTAGAAAAACCTTTTTGTAGTATTTTGATATTTTTGAAATCAATTTGATGACTGTTGAAAATGGCGTGAACTGCTATTGCCGATTTAATCTGAAGTCTATCTAATTCTACAGGATTATTAGGCGGTTTCTTTGTGTACCTGATATGTTCTTTAGCGCGCGTTAAGATTTCGCGAGATGACTCTCCAATATAGAAGGCATCACAATCGACACAACCTAATTTGTAGACGCAGTTCTGTGTCGACATGAATGGTATTTTTTCTTTTAATCGAACTAAAGTATTTCGAAGTGTGTTAGTTGTTTTGTAATATACTTTAAATTGATTTCAAATTGATTTCAAAAATATCAAAATACTACAAAAAGGTTTTTCTAACTACAAAGAAAGAAGAGTAGCAGAAGCTCTCCATATAATGCTTAATCCTACGGCCCTCAATAGAAAAGAAGGCCTTACCATACATCCCACTTGGACTATCTATCCTAGTCAACCAGTCTAATATTATTTACAATCTCACACCATTACATTACAAATTAAACTCTATCCTTTGTCATTACAAAGGTCACACATTTTTCGTCATTAACAATGCATACATACACACAAAATTACATACATATCCCTTATGAATCACTTTGAACGAAATGAAATGACGTGACATTGATTTATTCAGACCGGTTTTTGATTGATCACCTAATATTCTTTGATTGTTCCGTTGTACTATTTAAACTTGGATTAATATTAATTTGGTTATTTATTCTCTGAAGAAGTGGCTTACACTGAGTCACGAAACGTCAGAAAATCTAATTTTTCTACTCATTGGGATATTACAAATATATAATTTATTTATAACAATCTACCCAATGCTCAATTTATTCAAAATTATCAAATCAAGTCTTGGTAATGACACCTACAAAGTAATTATGTATATAATTCTAATGAACTCAACTTTATTCGTTTTATTCATATTTGACGTTAGTCATAGTTAGTCAGCAACGTCAAACCTGAGACATATATGCATTGGTTCAAATTACCACACCATGTCATCACAGTTTAACATTAGAAAATAAATATATTTGAAGATTATTTACGAGAAATTTACCATCACAATGTGAGCTATTGCAATGTATCAACCTTTCATTATATACCTCTAACATTAGTATTTCTATACTTAACAAATAAAATATTCATAATCCTATAATTACATGTTGTAGTAATAAAACAATTTACATCTTCACCATTCTAAATGTACAAATTTAAAATGATCACATTTTAAGGTTTTAAACAGTAAAACAATTTTAAATAAAGTGAAAGAGTATTTTGTATTTTCTATTATTTCGTATTGGAACATAAACAATTCATGTTCAAATATTATTGAATTATAAACGTGTATTTATATAGTACATTAACTACTTTCTTAGCGGTTGTCTAGATTTTTAATATTTTTATCGATTTTTAAGAGGGTATTAATCAAGTTGAAAAAAATCAGTACTGCGTTAGTATCAATGATTATAGTAGAATTTTTGTCATTTTTTATCCAGTAGTAATTCTAGCTTCCTGATTTAGTCTTTAAAAAAGTGTTAAAAACACGAAGTTCAGCGACGGGATCTCTTTTCAACGAATTTATTATCAAGCTGTACAATCGTATATATATATATATATATATATATATATATATATATATATATATATAAAGGTTTTGTTAAAGTATTAGTTTCGTGAGGACATGTGAATAAGGAATAACCAAGATGATGTAGTAGGAAGATTATAATACCAGATTACATAATACGAATAATAACAATAGACTTAATAAGTTAACAGCGAATTATAACGTGAATCTAATAAGATGATTAAAATGTTTTTGTCACAATAATTAAAGGTCATAGAGATGTGAAAAATAAAGAAAGTGATATCATAAGCAATTATGAATGAAAAATGGGAATAATATCAGATATAAGTAAAGGGGAGAATGGAATGATAATAATGAAAATTAAGGCCAAGGTAACAATAGGATGTACTTCTTTTGTACGCATAGTTCTGGAGTGAGCTCATGGATAGTAAGAGCTTCGACCATTTGTAAGAGTTGGATATGAAGAAATCTAGGTAGATTTGGACGAATCGTATAAACGACCTTAAATTCAAACTATGGATCCGTAGAATGATTACAGTCGATTAGATGTTCAAGTATAGAACTTCTAATTGCTCACCTCTCACCCTTGTAGAGAAATTTTCATATATGTATGGTTGTACAGCTTGATAATAAATTCTTTGAAAAGAGATCCCTTCGTTCAACTCAGTGTTTTTAAAAAAAAACTATTATTTCGTTGGCCTTTATACATGTGAAGTGTGTGTGACTCATTAGTAAAATGATTATACACATGATGGTATTTTGTCTTTAACTTTATCCATGTTCACTTCTATATTTTGGCAGTATTTTCTTGTACATTAGTTTAATCTACACTTTCAGTAAAATTTCACAACATCGAGCATCTTGTGTAGTTCCACGAGTGTTAAAAAAAGATCATATTATTTATTTAGTTGGATAATGGGTGGTGGTTGATTCGGAACTTCTTTTCTGTATTGCTTAAATTGCTTTCATAAATTATTCATGTGAGAAAATGTCTTTGTGAAAATGTTAATGAACTTACCTTTTAGATTGATATCGATCGCTTCGTTCGTAAAAAACTAATGCTTATCGAAATGTAATGCCGGCAAAACATTCATAATTTGGTCTGCAATTATTTATCGCCAACTTCATAATATTTTTAATATAAGCTGTGTAATTTTTGTGTTTTTTTCCCTTTTTAGAACTAACTATTTCCAGTTAAGTATTGATGACCATAATTTTTCTCTACTTTGGGTAAAGACTTTATTGCAACATAAGATGAAGGAAGTTCGTTTAGTGCATTTTATTCTACGTTTTCTGTTTTGTTTTATACGATGGATATTAGATCGCTATACCACGGACATCAACTCAATCTACTGTACATGAGATTGTTCAATCTATTCAGTCATATTCTGACTTAGAATCACTTCATCCATTCTCATTCTATCCAGAATTGGAACCAACTGCAAAATCTGTTAGCAAAGTAAGTATTCCATATTATGACTCGATCTATGCTGGAAATGTTTATTTTCAGTTCATTACTTTGTCATGCCAACCAGTCAGTCATATGCAACCTAGATTCTGACACATGTCGATCTGTTTAATTTGCTATACTTTACTAAATGAATAATAACCCAATCTACTTGATTCAGAGACGTTTAAGTTCTATGTATAAAGTATGCTGTTATTATCATCAGATATTAGCAGTCGAATTTTTACGAGATTGTTTTTGATTCTGTTTTTAGGTTATTCTCAAAAATAGCTTTCTTTTACTTTTCGGAAGTTCCTTTCAAAGCAAGTTACTGACAAAAGGTGCATTATTGTTCACTCTCGTTGATTTTTGATGAATTAACAACATTAAGAATGTCTCATCACATTTCCCATTGTGTGTACAACAGGGTGCACAATCTCAAAATGTCTAGTTTACAGTGTTTTCAACTGTCCTAAAATTGATTACCAGCTAGCTGTGAAAGTTGTATTTAGGTGAATAGTTTGTTGTTGACTGCTTGAATCGATTTAAGCGAGTCCTAGTGGGTTCTCATAACCTTTACTGTTCCTTTAGGGTTAATTTAGGGTTATCGTGTATTTTTGCAATTTGTTTGTACTAACAGATTATTCTGACACAATAACTATTTTAAGTTTCTGTAAGGCATGATGTAAAATTAGACGATAGGGAACATATTGTTCAGTTCAGCTACGTAGTTTTTTAACTGATGAGTGTTTTGTCACCAAGGTCATCCGGTCAAGTTCACGTGTTTTACTCTGTGAAAAGAATTGGCTGCAAATAATATAGTTACTTGAAAACCACGAGCTTAGTTTGCATATCATTCAGAAGTATGCTTTTGGAAATATAGAAGCAGTTTGTTATAGTCCTAGAGATTATCATAGGTTTTATAGTCATGAAACCTATTTATTAAATGAACGGAAGATTCATATTTCAAACTTGGTCGTAGATGTACATGCACATTTTTACCGTTTAACAGGATGTGTACATTCTTCTCGGCACCGAAGAAGGGAAGTAGACTATTAATATCTTTGTACTCAAACACATTTAATCAGAGCCTGTGGCGAGCAGGCATTTAATCTGTGTCAAATAGTTTTTTCAGAGCTGTCCATGCTAATCATTGTGGATTTATCTTTAAAAACAGCTCTCTATCTGTCTTTTCAAGAATCTGTCTCATCTTGAGACTCCCTTGTTCACTCAGAGTACTCACTTGAAAAGTTCTCTCTGATTAGAACTCAGACAAGATGCAATATTCTGATTGTGTGTCGTGAGTACACTATGCATTACTAAAAAGTCTCAATGGAAAACAACACCTATTATCCAATGCTTCTTAGTTTTAAGTGATTTTCCAACTGACAATTTATAAATGATGGATTTTTCAGACGTGTATGTTTATTTGTGTTTCATTACTTTTGGTAATATCTTTATCTGAAAATCTGCAATGTATCAGGATAAATCGACTGTTCATACAAATCAAATAAAAGCGCAAAATTATCAGGAATCCGATGTATACACAAACCCAAAAGTATTAGACTACAGCTCAAATTATCAAACTTTACATCATGAGGAATCAGTTAGAAAATCACCGGAAAAGCATAATTTCTTAATGGATTCAAATGTTAGGCATAGTTTACCGGTATCATCTTCATCCTCTTCGGATCGATTAATGATAAATCAACATCTACCACAAAAACATAAAAAGAAATTACAATTATTACATGAAGCTCAATTATTATTGGAAAAAGCACAACAGAGTAGAAATTGGGCACCAGTAATCTCTCCACCTCCACCACCACCTGTGGAACCACTTATAACTGGAACTATAAATAGTCCTGAAGATATACCTTCACCAAATCCATCTACGTGGTCTTCACAATTAAGTCCGTCAAGATCAAGTCCACATGACCCGACAGATGTATTCAATCATCATCAACACCATATATCCTATGAAAATAAAAAATCTCCTGTTGCACAATTTCATGGAGAACCAGTCGTTGATCCGCCATTTAACAGATCTCCAAGATCGGACTCGGCTAGGTTAGTATCTACGATTGGCTCTAGTCAAGATAGTTCTGGTCCTAAACAACGTATTGTATTAAAATTATCACGATCAAGTTGTGGTAGTCAGTTGTCTGTTTCATCTTCACAACCACTTGAAGATGAATCTATGGAAAGATCGGAAAGGAAAAAACGCAAAAAAGAATCAAAGAAAGAACGTCGCAGTAAGAACTTGGGGGTAAATTTAATGTTTTGCATTTAATTATAAATTAATTTATGTTTATTTCGCATTACTTTTTCTTTTTAATGTAGATTAATTTTTATAGTGGTGTTTTACAAAATAAGCGAAACAAACTGAGGAGTTTGATAAGTTGAAGTTTAGAAATTTGTTAATAAAAATATTGATGATCATAAGCATTTCTGGCAAAACCACTAGTTATTGTCATGTCAAGTGGTAACTTTCCGTAATTTCCTCTATGAATCTGTAAATACCGCTAAATGGCATTCATTAGCATACTGTACTTGTTCCTAATAGCTTTCAGAAAGAGAGAGATTTGCAATAGATCTATCTATCATTAGAGTCGAATGCCACTATTACATAAAGGAAAAGAGGGAAACTGATTCTTATATGATTATCATGAACGAATTTTGGTTTTTGTAAAGTGGTAAAGGGAGTCAAAAATATGATTAATAGCGCCATCTTTGTTATACGAAAGCTTATAACTTAATTGGTGTTTTCATCGTAGTTTCAGGTAAATAAGGTTCTGATTGACTGATAACACAAAATTGTGTAATTTGGCTTTATAAGAAATACTTATGGGATGATTTTTATTATTTCATTACAGTCACTAGATGGCATTTACATTCATAAAACTAGAACAGTAAATTATCTGACCACAAGCTATAATGAAATAGTGAAATAGATTATTGTAAAAAGGGGACATTAACATATTATGACTGCATATTGTATTCTGTCTGTTTAACCGTGGGTGATGTTGATTGTCGTCAATTAGCCTATCAGTTCTCTCTCTGTTAGTTATGAGACTTCATTTCCGATTATCAAGAGAGTCTTTACCAATTACTCGTCGCTTTAGACCTTAGAAACTTCTTTAACATTTAGAATCTTTTGGTTTCTCTGTTTTAAGTTGTTTAGCTTCAGTTTAGAACTGAGTAGTGGATAACTGCTCATTGTTTTAATAATGTGTGTTATGAGCGTTCTCAACTTTTCATCCACACCCTATCTGTTTTGCAAGCTAGCACAACAAAATATTCTTTGAAATTTTATGTCCATAATAATATTACTATGGTTATACACTTTAGTCTTTGTAGTTGCACTGCTTTCTGTTACTACTTTAAAATTTGTGAAATTTTCCAGATACCCAAAAGGTGTGTTAAAGACATTGATTTTTGTTTTACCTTTAGTCAATACCTGTAATCGATCCAGATTTATTTGTCCAGTAAAATGTTTTCTTACTGTTTTATTAATGAAGATATGTTGATTTGATGAAATATGTTTTAATAATAATAATAATAATAATAATAATAATAATAATATATATTCTGAAAATAATATTTACGGAATTCACACCAGTTTACAGGCATGATCAGATTGTTATAAAAATCAACATTTAATGTAGAGAACAAACATGAATTATAAGAAGGTTTTATGTTTGCTTGTTTAGTAATTGATAAACAGTTTAAATATGGCATATATCACGGCAAGCCAATGCAACACCAGGGAACTTGTCATTTTTTCATCAAGTGGATAGCCTGATGATTGACATGATTATTCTGTAAGGTTATTACCAGTGCCAGAGCGAGTTATTATTAATTATCTACAACTAGAGAAGGTAAGATTAAAGCAAAGAGCACGGAACAACAAAACAATGATAGCAAGTAAGAAGTTAAACATTTAAAGTTCCTATAATCTCACTTGTGGAGTAAGATACACTTGCAGGCGCTAGAGCATTTAATGCATTTTCAGAGGAGCAAAAAGCATTAATTGAGCGAACAAACAATGGGAGAGAGTCTAACATACGGATAGTTTGGGGTAAATTATTCCAGAGTCTAGAAAACTTACAGGTAAAGTAATTCATATAGAGAGAAGACCTAGAATATGTTTGTTTCGCTAAAGACAAGGAGTTACGAATGTCGTAATGTGAAGCCTTAGCATATTGAACCGCCTGACTGGATGTGAAGGAGAGTTTGTTAAATATTTTGAAAAAGAAGATAAGGTTAAGTTTGAGTCTCCTCATCCATAAAGGGTCAAGCCCTAGTTTACTACACCTCGAATTATATGTCAAGACACTATCAGGTCCAAGAGTACGAAGTGTAAATCGTCTCTGTACTGATTCCAGTCTTAATTTATCCTTTATGCGCGTGCTACTAAGGAGAAACGCGCAGTATTCGAGGAGTGGTCGAACACAGACTTTGTACATTAGAATACGGGATTCGCTGTTATGAAGGTTTCGAGTTATGAAACCTATAAGGCGTTGAGACTTGGACGTTTGTTTCATTACCTGTTCAGTAAACGACAAGTCATCGGAGTACCTAAGCCCTAGATCTACTACTGTGTGTAACCTAGATAACATTTCCCCATTTATGGTAAGATTAAGGTTGAGTGATGTATCACCGAAGCATAGCCAACCACATTTAGCTGTATTGAGCTCCAGCTGCCATTTTGAGCACCACTGTGCTACCTTGTTAAGCTCCGTGCTGATGCAATTTCGAATATTGCTCAGCTCATGTGGAGAAAATGAGTACACCACCTTAAGATCGTCTGCAAACAAAAGGGACTTACCCACACTAAAACACTCACAAATATCATTAATGAAAACTAAAAAGAGCAAAGGACCTAAGACACTACCCTGAATTACCCCACTTCTAACAGGGACTGCGTTCGACAATGAAGAGTTGATTTTAACTATTTGATGTCGATTGCTGAGGAAGGAATCAAGCCAGGCTAGTAACGGGTTTTCGACCCCATAAGATGCGAGTTTACCTATGAGAAGTTGGTGGTTGACCATGTCGAAGGCCTTAGAAATGTCCAGGTATAGCACTAATACTAGATATCCTTGGCTACGAAGCGAATAGACTAAATTAAAGAAGTCAAAATGACATGTCATACAAGATCGATTTTTAAGAAATCCATGTTGCGAATCACCAATAAATTGTTCAGTCAATAAATAGTTGGATAGTTCGTCACTAATAATTTTTTCCATAATCCTAGAGATAACTGGAGTAATATTTATTGGCCGATAGTTGTTCATGTCAGTCTTATCTCCGGATTTGTAACGTGGTATGATGTACGCGGTTTTCCAACGGTCAGGATAAGAGCCTGATTCCATAGAGAGGGTAAACAGTTTAAGGAGAAGAAGTTGGATATCTGGACCACCATATTTGTAGAGAAATGATGAAATCCCGTCTGCACCGTGACCTTTCGAAACCTTGAGCTTATTTATAACCTTACTAATTTTCAGACATGTGAAGGAGATAGATGTTATTGAGTTACCAGTCAAGCATATAACTCTAGAAACAGAGCCATTTATGGATTCTTTGTCATTTGCAAAATTACCACTGAAAAGGTCTGCTATAGTTTTTGGGTCATATATAAAACTATTATTATGCAGGATGCATGGTATATCAACATTTTGAGTTGATTTAGCACGTTTATTGTAAAGGTGGATTAGGTTTTGCACTTTTGAGCTAGTACTTAGTGCTAATAGCTCTTCATTAATGGCTTTTAACCTGTGTTCCTACTTAATTTGGTTAAAAATTATTGTTATTTGTGTGACTGCTGTGAAGTCGTTAGATTTAAAATAACGTTTTTTTAGGCGTCTTAGTTTATTACGATATTTAGCTGGTATATATAATTCGTAATGTTTACTAATCCTGTAAGTCTTAATTGGTGCACAGGAGTCTAGACAAGAGTTAACAATGAAATAGAATATAATGATGGCATCTGTCAGACTATTACATGAGAAGAATTCATCCCAGTCTGAGAGTTTGATCAGTGAGCGCAAGAGGTCCCAGTCTGTATGCTTATAGTCTCTATAATTGCAGGTTCTTTGAATTGGTCGGTTGTAGGAGGGACAGATGGGGAGAGCACAAGCTACTATCCTATGATCACTGCTTGCAAACTCGTTGTATACTTGTACAGATAGGGGAATGATATCTCTACTAAATATTAGATCAAGTGTATTATCACCCCTTGTTGGGGTACGAACCCACTGTGACCAGCAGTACAGATTAAGGATTGATAAAAATTCATCATTGTTAGACTGACAACTACCGGTACTCCAGTTAATCCCAGGATAATTGAAATCACCAGTGATAATCTTAGCGCTGAAGTTTAGAGTAGATGCGTGGATAAATGCATTGATAATACAATCATTCAAATTATCAGTACTATCAGGAGCTCTATATATACAACCTAGGAGTAGACTATGGTTTAGGGTATTGATTGATATCCAGATCGATTCTGGTAAACTATTCAAGATACTATCTTCAACTTTATTAGTTGTTAAGGTATCCAAAGCAAATATAAGACAACCGCCTCCTCGCTTAGTTTCTCTGTCACAGCGATAGAGTCGATAGTTTTGGATATTTAATTCGGAATCGGCCACTGCTGGATAACACCACGTTTCAGTGATAAGTATAAAAGAAGGCTTGGCTATAAAGGCTAAGGTTCTCAAGGCTGAAATTTTGTTCAGAAGTGAACGTGCGTTAATAAGTAATAAGTTTAAAAAGGGAGTGTGTAGTGTAAAAAAACCGAGAGCATCCTTATCGAAGGTATGAGTTCTAGCTATGCCTGGACTATGGTTCAATGTGTTTGCTGGATCGCATGGGCTATAGCATGAGCGAATTGTAGTGCTAGTGGAACAAGGGATCTCTGGAGGCCGAAAAAAAATCCTTATTTTGGTAAGGTTGAATAATTTGTTGTATTTGTTTTGGTGGACAATTAAGACAGGTGCCTACATGTTGGGGTTGCGTTGATGGTGCATAACCTAGTATACCATCTTCTCCACTGCGAGAGTGATGATAAGAGTTACATCTTGCAGGTTTATTATTTATTACATATGGGGGAAACCATGGGGCACGTTGGTTTATTGCCGTCTGTCTAATAGTAGGCCTGCTTCCATGATGGTTGTAGTGGCCTTCTTGTGTAACGTTTGAACGAAACGTGTCTTTATAACCTCCCTTACGATGAGTAGGGTTAAGCATAGTTTCAGAAATTATAATTTTGTTTGGTAAAGCCGTTGAAATATTTTTGGTAATCGGTTTAGAACTAGGTTTTTTATTTACTTTCTTCTTAATTGGTATATTCTTTTTAGGTTTAGCAGTGTTTTTATGAGCCTTCACAATAGAATCAGGTGTACGATCCTTGGCTTCCGATATTACACTGGAAAGAATGACATTAGAGTCTCCATCAGATATGTCCTGGTTATCTAAGGCCACTAGGGGTATGAGAGGCAAACTAACACACTGCATTGGTATATCAGTACACTGACTAACATGAGATAAATTAGCTGCACCTGTGGGTTCAGCTGCTGGCGCGATCACATTTGTTGTGACCTCAACAATGTTATTATCGTTTATGGTACGCTTTTGTGTTAATCTTTGATTTGTGGTTTTGTCCGAGACTATACGAGCGTTTTTAAACTTCGTATGCGCACAAACTAGCTGTTCAGATTCTATCAAACGTTCCGCTAATAAATGGGAATCGAATCTAAACAGGATAGGGCACGAGTATTTTTGATGCTTTTTGTTAAGTCGGATACATTGGCATGGACTGTCCTGGAGGTTAGCTGCCTTTAGTATCGAGTTTCTTACAGTTTTGATGGCAACCTTGTCAGGTATATTATATATAATCACGTTATTTCGTGAGATTATTCGCTTGGTGACTTCGCTAGCTATCGAGTCAATAACTGATTCTACTCTGATCCTGTCTTCGAGTTCAGAAGGAACTACATCCTTTGACAACAGCAGTCGAAGGGGTGACAGTGTCTTTAGTTCTAGTTTAAGATCATCATGCTTTAATAAAGAGCCCGCAAGTGACTCCACTTTAGAACGCATATCACTTAATTGCTTAAAGACAGCGGCTAATTCGCTCTTAATAAGATCGATACCATCTGTTCGTGAGTTAGAACTCATTATTAAGTTAGACATGGAGTCATCCAGCAACATGTGTGGAATAAGTCCACTCCCACTATTATCTGGTGCAACAGGAGTTGCAGAGCATGGGGTAAAGGTAAGACCAGAGTTGACATCTGAAGAACTAGGACTTTTTCGAGCTCGTTTTTGTGTCAGTCGAACCATTTTTCTTCAAGGGTTAACTGAATGTTATTATTGATTAATAAACTAGAGTTTAACGATATATAAGCACTTTGTAATAAATACCGTGTGATCGTAACGCAAACTTCAAACGTACCGCAAAATGTATTGTAGTAGTAGTAAGGACTTTATAAGTTTACCAAACTAGGAGATTATTTAAGATATTTCCATTTAACTTGTATTAGCTAACAAATAATATCAAATTTAATACATATTTGTATTTATAAAATTCTTACCACTAGAGCTCACCTACAAAACATTCGTTTGAAAGTTATAATACTACTGTAGTGACTACTACTACTACTACCACTAATACCACTACTGTTAATACTTTGGATAAAGATATAATTAATACTGTCGCAAACAAGAGTAAACAATCTGTACAAATATTTCCTTCAGAAACATCACCTTCATTATGTAAAAGAAATTCACCAAAAAAGTATTCATCTCATGATACGTATTCAAATGATTCAAGTCCTGAATTAACATATAATTCACGTAAATCTACACTAAATAAAAATCCTAAAATTTCTTGTGATAACAATAATAACAATAATCTGAAAACATTTGTAGATACCGATGAACACGATGATCTACTTAAATATAATCAAAGAAATTCAAGTAAATATTCAAATCAACAATGTTATCAGCATTATTCTTCGGTTAATAATACACGACAGGATACAAATGATACATATACATCTGATATTGATTCATTATGTGATTCTATTAGTCGATCAACTCATTCACACTTACTTCTTATTGATCAAAAAGAAGATGATTATCATGATGAATCTGGTAGAGAAACTCCAGTAGTGGATTATTTTGGTGATGAATTTCAACAACAACATAGTCAGAAAGATCAACAACATTCAAATGCATTTTCATCGTCAACAATTGGATCTTCATTGATAGTACGAAATGTCAAATATTCTGATGAAATGTCTATTGTTAATAATCAAAATCCTATCCAATCAATTATTAACAATGATACTAGTAGTAATAATAGATTAGATGATTCAGAAGAACCATTAACACATTCAGTTATAGTTAATACAAATAGGGAATTATATGAAGAAGATTTTAATGATTTTGCATCATCATCAAAAAGTTGTTCAACTTATGAACATTCTAATGATCAAGATGATAAGAAACGAAATAAATTCAATATAAATGAAACACAACTATCATTATTTCATCAAAATAAACAATATAATAATAAAAATAATAATTTAGATGAAAAAACCAAATTAAAACAATCAAATAATAAATTAAAACATAAAAATTCTTCTAATTCATCAATTAAACTATCATCTCATAAAGGTGTAAGTTTTTAGAATTTCTTCCATCAACAAACTTATCTAGATTCCTTATTTACTTTATAAAATATATGTAACTCATCAATCGTAACCAATGGTTGGAGACTCTAGGTGACATGGCTCATAATCAATCACAATGGCGTAGGTGAATACACTCTTTATCTTCCCTTAAACTTTGAGATTAAAATTGCTTCATATCTGTCTTCCTTCCTATAATATATCCTTATATACAACCTTTATATATATTCCACCACTAAATCAACTACTACGAATTTGGTGTTGATCTTGTTGTGCTTATGAGGTATGGCAACTTGGACGAATGCATATATGTGTCTGGCCCACGTTGTAGCTGACTGACTGACGAAAACTATCTATAGAGTTGTATTTCACATAACACAGTATACCATATTTTCTATGAACTCTTATAATTGTAATAAAAAACAACAATATAGTATTCGGGTTATACATATGAAAAGAAATAACACGTCGTTAAATCTAATGTTCATGTAAAATTATCTTCACTTTTTATTAAACAATGGGTTTTTTACTGTATCACTGTCCACAATTTCCCACTAGGTTCAATTCGGAAATTAGTGATATCAATAACTTCAATTTTTTCTTATCTAGTGATTCTAAACTCTTTTTTACTTTTCACTTTACTAGAAGGTATTGCCTCTTTGATTTACTTTACAGTCAAGGATATTCACGATGCTTAGTTTTCATAAGTCAACTTCTTTATGATAAACTTTACGGATGAAATATTCAATTGCTTGTCAACTTATTTTGATATGTCATTGAATGACTTTAAGACTGGTATGTTCTAATAATACACATCCTACCGTGCATCTAAACTAAGGACATTTTTGTACTGTCTATGGGGTTATAAACAAAACTTGAGTAGTCGCCTCAAAGTATTTTTCCCAAAGGTAAATAAACACGTTCAATTACGTGAAATGATTGACATATTCAAACTACTTCATGATTTTTGTTCACTTAACCCCTTCGCTGAATTCTAATTTTTTTTATTCCTGTAGTTATTTATAGTTTCCATTGATCACGAAACTAAGGTTTTTTTAAAAATATATTCAACAGAATATTATACATATAATATTTTCTACTTGTATACAAATTTGCCCTATTAAGTGAGTCAAACAATTTATGGTTCATGGACTAGTTCATATTTTCTGTTTTGTTTTGGGAGTTGTAATTTCTGACTTTCTATTTATTGTGCGCAAACAATAACAGTAATAAAATTTTTCTTTATGTTGCTTTATCTATATACCAGCTGACACAATAGATCTTGGATTTCGACCGTTGCTGCTACCTTGACGTGGTGGTCGGGCTTGCCTATCGTGATGAAGCAATCGAGCTATGCTGGCTGGAACAATCGTTCCTCGAGGTCCTACCATGCCAGACAGGTCGGTTGAAGAGCGGTGAGACTAAAAGCAGCAAACCCAAGGTCCGAAGGCGAAGTCGTACTGTCGACTGTACAGAGGTGTGACGGCAGTAAGGTGTTTCCTTCAGACAACCAGCATGACAGCGATGCTGCCTTTCCACAAGGAGGGGTGGGGTTAGAAAAGGTCGGCCCTAAAAATGCACACCTCGCCTTATCCCACGGATATCCGTCTCCGGCGGTAAGGTCCTTTGAAGAACGGAGCTAACACAAAAACTACCCACAAAAAGGTCGTGTGTGACCGACCTCAAGCAGTTGTCCCTTGGGCACTGCGGTCACGCTCTCAGGTCATTAAGACCACTTCTAACCCAATTTCCTTTTCAGGTACCTCTAGAAGAACCCTTCCACGGTGTGGGCAACCGGGAAGTGATAACTGCCCTCATACCCCTAACAGCACTCAAGACCACCTTATTCATAATCAATCTCCTTCAATTCCTACTATTCCTTCTACCTTGACTTTCAACACTAAACTTCCTGTTCCGGTTTCCTCCTCAAGTGTCACCATGGCCAACGATTCTAGTGCGCGAAACGCTGTCCCAGGTCTACTTAAACCTCGCTCCAAACTACACATTGGAGCCTTCAACGTACGTACCCTATGCCAAATCGGTCAACAGGCCTCCTTAGCTAAAACCCTAGAATCTCGTACCATTGATGTATGCTGTGTCTCCGAAACACGCATACAGGATCCCAGTGTGGTCATTCACTTGACCTCACCTCGCCAAAATGGACAACCAACGAAATACACCCTCCGTGTATCTGGCGACCCGTTGGCTAGTTCTCGCGGACTTGCAGGTGTAGGCATAGCACTAAGTACAAGGGCAGAACAGGCACTATTAGAATGGATCCCCGTTAACAGTCGCCTGTGTGTTGTCCGGCTGAATGGCTCCGTAAGAACTCGGAAGGATAGGGACACACGTCGTTGCCTTTTCGTCGTTTCTGCCTACGCTCCCACTGACTGCAGCCATGATGAAGTGAAAGATGACTTTTACAGAAAACTCTCTGAGCTTCTTCAGAAAGCTAAGCGCTCAGACATAGTAGTCGTAGCGGGTGACTTTAATGCCCAGGTAGGCAGCTTGAATCAAACAGAAAGACATTTAGGTGGGTGTTTTAGTATTCTGGCTCAACGAACCGATAATGGTGATCGTCTGTTGCAACTATGCTCAGACAATCGTTTATTTTTAGCAAGCACTAATTTTAAACATAAGGAGAGACATCGTCTAACATGGTGACCACCTGCACCAAACCAACGATGGACTCAAATAGACCATATTGTCATCAGTCATCGTTGGAGAGGCTCAATAGAAGATTGTCATTCGTATTGGAATACTTGTTTAGACTCTGATCACGCTTTAATACGAGCGCGCATTTGTCTGCGCCTCAATGGACGCAGGAAAAGTACACTAAGAAGACCCATTAGGATTGAACTGGAGGACGAGAAAGCCAAATGCGAATTCCAGAAACAACTGAGTTCACATCTAGGCAGCTCTGTAAACAAGACTGACACAGATGCTGTTTGGAAAGACATACGAACAGCTGTGTAAAACAGCAGTAACATCTATTAGTCATTTAAACCATAGGGCTCCAAAAAACCAATGGATTTCTTCTAAGTCACTGATGGATTCGCGTAAACTCATCCCATCAGGCTCTGAACATGACGAAGAGCGTAAACAAATTAGATCTAGGTTAACTAAAAGTCTAAGGAACGATCGTAAGCAGTGGTGGGCAACGAAAGCAAACGAGATGGAAAAGGCAGCGGCTGTAGGGAACACCAGGCAACTATTCAGACTAATAAAAGAAACCGGAATTAAGAAGTCAAGTGTAAGTGAGACAATCTCCGAAAAAGACGGAACCCTTATCTGCTCTCAACCCAAACGTTTAGAACGATGGGCGGAACACTTTAAGGAGCAGTTTAGCTGGCCTTCAGCTACTGCACAACTACCCACTATTCCTAGAAAACCTGAATGGAACATTGAAGTAGGCCCCCCGACCCTACTTGAAGTTCGAAAGGCTATAGGTAATCTGAAACGAGGAAAAGCAACTGGTCCAGATGGATTGGCTCCAGAGGTCTTTAAATATGGTGGCCCAATTTTAGCGACTAGGTTGACTAATATTCTGGCTAAAATCTGGGAGTTGGACGTAATCCCATTCGACCGGTCACAATCACTGATTGTCCCAATATATAAAAAGGGGTCCAAATCATCCTGCGATAACCATAGAGGGATTAGTCTGACTAACATAGCATCTAAAATACTAGCCTCAATAATTATCGGGCGCCTAACTAAGACTCGTGAACTGCAAACACGAGAAAATCAGGCTGGCTTCAGACCTGGTCGTGGCTGTATCGACCACATATTCACCATTCGTCAAGTTTTAGAGCACAGACACGCTTATCGGCGTCCGACAATGATAGTTTTTCTTGACTTGAAAGCAGCATTTGACTCTGTAGACCGAGGTTCTGTGGCAGTGTCTGTCATTGAAAGGTGTACCTCAGAAGCACATAAACCTTGTGAAGGCTCTTTACTCAAACACTACCATTCGAGTGAAAGCTTATGGCGAACTGTCATCTGATTTTACAACCTCAAGTGGTGTCCGTCAAGGCTGTCCACTATCCCCATTTTTGTTTAACTTCATTATAGACCTGTTGCTGGAAATAACACTCTCTTCGACTGAATTTACAGGAATTGATCTCCTACCAGGGGGACCACTAAGCGACTTAGAATACGCAGATGACATAGTCCTGTTTGGTGAAGACGCTGGCAAAATGCAGAGTCTTCTGTTGGAACTCAGTAATAATGCCAGGATGTTTGGGATGCGATTCTCCCCATCCAAATGTAAATTGTTACTCCAGGACTGGCCTGCATCAACACCTGAACTAAGGATAGGGAGTGAAGTAGTCGAACGCGTTGACAACTTCACTTATCTTGGAAGTCTGATCAGCCCTAATGGGTTGGTGTCTGACGAAATCTCAGCACGGGTTCGAAAAGCTCGTTTGGCTTTTGCCAACTTACGTCACCTATGGCGAAGACGAGATATCCGTCTATCAATTAAAGGACGAGTAAACTGCGCATCAGTTCGCTCTGTTCTACTTTACTGTTGTGAAACATGGCCATTAAGAGTAGAAGATACTCGTAGGTTACTAGTATTTGACCACAGATGCCTTAGAAATATTGCTCGCATCTGCTGGGATCACCGGGTAAGTAATAGTGAGGTTAGACGCAGGGTATTAGGGAATGATGGTAAATCAGTTGATGAGGTGATGAATCTTCATCGACTGAGATGGTTGGGCCATGTGTTACGTATGCCTGAACACCGATTACCACGTCGCGCTATGATGACTAGTACTGGGGATTTTTGGAAGAGAGTTAGGGGCGGCCAAACCAAAACATGGCATCAGTGTTTGAAGTCACTAACTTCTAGTCTGAGCCATGTTGGCAGATGCAGAGTACCTGGTTGGGGTCCGCGTGACTATCGTAACCAATGGTTGGAGACTCTGTGTGACATGGCTCAGAATCGATCACAATGGTGTAGGTGTATACACTCTTTATTTTCCCTTAAACCTTGAGACTAAAATTGCTTCATATCTCTCTTCCTACCTATACTATATCCTTATATACAACCTATAATTTATATACTACTACCACCACTAAATTAATTACTTCTATGAATCCAGTGTTCATCTTGTTGTGCTAACGAGGTATGGCAACTTGGACCGATGCATAAATGTGCCTGGTCCTACGTTGTAGCTGACTGACTTGGATTTCGAAATTTCTTTACACCTTTTATTCTGTGGATTTTTTCATTCTCCTCGAACCATGTTATCTTTACCGAATGTGTTTTTACCATTACTGATACACTATTACTGTGATACTTGTCTTGATAATTTTACTTCACTGGGCTGATATGCTATGTGCAGGGTCGATGGATCCAAATATGTGCTAGGTCCCACTTTATTTATGACAGACAGATATTAGCTTTGTGACTAACGTAGTTTTCATTTAAAAATGATTAATTGCTTATATAAACATTCTCATATTCAACCGTATACAGTAGTTTAATTACTTATTAAAGATTTATGAGTGAAACTGTTTGTTTATTTTTAGTTTAGTTCATTCGAAATTTTTTAACATTGATTATTAAAATGTTAACCAATAAGTTTCTTAACAAGTTACGCATGTAACAACTCAATTGCTTGTTTATTTTTCTTTTTATTTAGAAGAACCAACTAGATTTTGAAAGATCCACTGACTCAACAATCCGAGTACCACCACCAGTAAAACAGTTTAGAGTATCAGATCATTCCAATTCGATGGATAATAACTGTCAGTCAAAATCATTTAGTAATGTCGAAAGTCATTCAGCAAATGTATATAATAGAAAAAAGCCAGGTGCGAAAAAATTCAAATCTCATGATAGCTCTTCTTCTTCTTCTTCATCATCATCATCCTCTTCATCTTCAACAACATCGTCATCGTCAAAGCGACTGAATATACCTGCAGTTAATCATGCTACATTGTATGAAAATTCACCAATGATTCATAAAACAAAAGACAATGAGTCGAAGAATATGGGTAAATTTAAAACAATTGAAAAGTCATCAGAACAACGACAACATTCATCAAATAAAATGCTACCCAGCGATCATGAAATATGTAAGTTATTTTAATTAATTTTTGTTGTTTTCGCTTATTAACTTCAATGAGTACGTGTATGAGGTCACTGAAGAGTTTCAATTTATTCAATCCAATATTTTTGATAGTAGTGAGGAATTCTGAGCACAAATTGTGCTGTATTTCAACAAGTGACCCATCTTTTATTAATTTAATTTGTTAAATATTTAAAGTAATTTTGTAGCAGTAGGATGAGAACTAAGCATTGGGAATATAGTTGGTAAATAAAAATTGCAAAGGCATATGTGAACGAAGGCTGAGACACTATCACAACATAATATTATGGATATTCTAATGTGATTTGTAGTGTGGAGGGAAATGCCTTATCATAATAGTGTTTACTGATTGAATTAATTGTCATAGTGATGGAACAGATCAAAAAATAGGTCATGTGTGCAGGATTCCAATTAAATTACATATACTAGAAAAGAATTAATCACCTCATGCATTTTTATTTAGAATAGGTCTGAATCTTATTTTATTATTTATTTAAACACATATATATTGGTACAAAAGGGCACCAGGTACATATGCGCCACACAAAATAATGAAAGTAGGTAGATAAAGGATGAAAAGATAAGGCGGGCTGAAATGTACAACCAGAAGATTCTTTCAGTTAGGAAAATTAGAACCATTCTTTATGTAGAAAGTAAAAGAAGGTTGCAGCAGGATCGCCACTGGCTTCTATTCTGAGCCATATCCGATAACGTCTCTAGCCACTGTGTTGCACTATCTCTCGGACCCCAACCAGGGAGTCGTGAAGGACCAACAGAAGCTAGCCCTTTGCAGCTCTCTTTCATGCCACGACACCATGTCATACACTGACCTCCTCTCCGCTTTCTCCAACCAGTCCCAGGGTCGGCAAATAATGCACGACGCGGAAGTCTCTGGGACGACATTCGTAAAACATGTCCGAGCCACCGAAGTCGGTGTTTCAAGATGGTGACACCAATTGAATTATCGTATCTGCGCCCGAACACACGATGCCGAACCTCTGCATTACTAACATGGTGTTGCCACTGGATGTCAGCAATCCTTCGGAGACAACGATGATCGAACACAGAGAGACGTCTAACATCCTCAACTCGGAGAGGCCAGGTTTCACAAGCATAGAGCAAAACTGCTCTCACCGACGCGTTGTAGATCCGACCTTTTACAGCCAGACTAACATCACGAAGGCGCCAAAGATGGCCCAGATTGGCATAAGCCGCTCTGGCTTTCATTATACGTGCATCAATCTCATCACTCACGCCACCACCAGCACTTATATAGCTACCTAGATACACGAACTTCTCAACTACTTCGATCTCCTTACCATCCAGGGTGAGTACAGGATGAGAATCCTGCCAGTCTTGTAGAAGTACTTTGCACTTGGAGGGTGCAAAGCACATGCCGTACCTGCGGACACTGATTGCCAACTGATTAAGTGCTGATTGCATGCCTTGGGCATTATCGCACAGTAAGACAATATCATCGGCATACTCAAGGTCGAGAAGTCGTTCTCCATGCAACATATCCACACCGCCATTACTTACATCCATCAGAGCTGTTTCCAGGATGTCGTCGATGGCAAAGTTGAAGAGGAATGGTGAGATCGGGCAACCCTGCCTAACCCCACTGCTCGAATGGAACAAGGGAGAAAGGTGGTTGTATGCCCTCACTCTGCCTGAGGTGTTCGTATACAGGGCCTTTAAGATGTTAATGAACTTCTCAGGCACACCCTTCTTCAATAGACAATCCCAGAGAACAGTCCTGTCCAACGAATCGAATGCCGCCCTGATATCAAGAAACACTACGATTGTTGGCCTGCGATAAGTATGACGGTGTTCTAACATTTGGCGGAGGGTGAAGATGTGATCAATGCATCCTCGACCAGAACGAAAACCAGCCTGCTCCTCGCGAGTCAATCGTTCTCGGGTTTTAAACAACCTACGAAGAATGATAGAAGCCAATAGTTTGGACGCGATCGAAAGTAGACTTATCCCCCGGTAGTTATTGCAGGAACAACGTGAACCCTTTTTAAAGATAGGGACGACTATTGACTCATTCCATGATGTTGGAACACTTTCTGGCTCCCAAACCTTTCCAAACAACGCAGTCAGTTCCTTAGCCAGAAAGTCACCACCATCTTTAAAAAGAGCCGGAGGTAAGTCATCTGGGCCAGGTGATTTATAACGTTTCAAGAGTTGGAGTTCCTTGCGGACTTCCGCCTCGTTTGGTGGATCAGTCGTCACCGGCCATGGGGAGCAGGACAAGCTGGTTGATGTTGCCGGAGCAGCAGGCCAGTTGAACTGCCCTTCGAAAAATTCCGTCCATCGTCCAAGACGTCGACAGATGTTAGTGATTGGCATCCCGTCATCCTCGTAGATTGTTTCACTCACACCAGACTTCTTGCTGCCAGTGGCTTGGATGAGTTGGAAGAGCTTCCGGCAGTTACCAGATGCAGCTGCTGCTTCCATCTCATTAGCACGCTCCGACCACCAGGCTTCCCGGTCCTTACACAAGCTTTGCCCAATTTCATTACGTAACAGCCTTCGTTTGTGGTCAAACTCACGGTCACCCGGAGTAGACCGACGGGCTTCGATCAGTTGTAAGGAGCCAGAAGAGACCCAGTGCTTGTAAGCGGGACGTTTCGCGAAGCCGCAAGCGGCTTTACTCGCCATTTTCATGGCGTCGTGAAGATGCAACCAATGCTCGTCTATACTTTTCGGTGGGGTGGTAGCTAGCCTAGAGGCTAGCTCAGCTCGATACTTACTTGCAACAGAAGTTGCAGCCAGTTTACTAATATCAATCCGTTGGTGGTGGTCAATCCTTCGGCCACTGAAAAGTAAGGTGAGATTGGCGCAGACCAGGGCATGATCAGACTCCAGATAGGTACTCCAAAAGGAGCGGCAGTCTTGTACACAACCACGCCAGCGGTAGCTGATCGCGATGCGATCAATCTGAGTCCAGGCTTGGGATGCAGAGGGAGGACGCCAGGTGGCACACCGGCGATGACTGTGCCGGAAGTTAGTGCTGGCCAGAAACAGGTTGTGGTCTGTGCACAGTTGCAGCAAACGGTCCCCGTTATCTGTCCTGCGACCAACAAGTCCCCATCGGCCACCTAGACGACTCTCTTCTATGCCTAGACGCCCGACCTGTGCATTCAAGTCTCCGGCTAGTACTACAATATCTGTCGAACGCGCTTTCTGGAGAAGAACTGTTAACTGATGGTAAAACTCATCCTTGATTGCATCCGGGCTGCAATCTGTCGGGGCATAGGCGGAGATGACGAAAAGACACCGTTTCTCACGCCGGTTTCTTCTCACTTTGATGGAACTTTCTAATCTAACAGCACATAACCGACTGTTAATGGGGATCCAATCGATTAGTGCTGCCTCAGCTCTAGCGCTTAGTGCGACACCAACGCCAGCAAGACCAGACGAAGATGCCACAGGGTCCCCGGATAAGCGCACGTGGAACAAGCTTTTCGAGGCGACAGATGGAGAGCGGATTTGTAGTACTTCACTAGAGTCTTGAATACGGGTCTCGGATAGACAGCAAACATCAACATTAAGACCTTCCAAAGACATAGCCAGCCCTATCTGTTGTCTGATCTGCATTAGTGTGCGAACGTTGAAGGAAGCCAGCTTGAACGGCGTACGTGGTTTCAGAAAGACTGCCTCAGTATTCATAATCGGTGGAAGCATTCACTTTCAACCAGACAGTGACTGGAGATCGTTTAGATAGGACAGATTTTCCACCAAGAGCGAGCTGCTGCATAAGTTGAAAAGTAAGGTTACACAAATTGGGGATAAAAGGGGGTGAATTAGCGATATGGTAAGTAATAATAATAATAATAATAATAATAATAATAATAAAGACATTAAATAGGAATAATATATTTGTAAAATCTCAGCGAATGAATTTTTTAAATTAAATCCAACGTTTCGCCTGGCAATCTGGTCCAAGCTTTTTCAAGGAATTATAATCAAACATCAAAATTATCGAATATATTTATATTCGTTATTTTTAATTTAAAAAATTCATTCGCTGAGATTTTACAAATATATTATTCCTATTTAATGTCTTACTTCAACTCGGCGCTCAAATACTGTGAAACTATTCGTTCTAATTTAGACGAGAGTTCTTATAAATAATAATAAAGGTAATAATAATAATAATGTTAATTGTCTTGCTTTTAGTATGACCAGGGATATCGTCAATAGAGTTCATAATTTCATTCATTTGTTTGTGTGTGGGCTGTGATACTGCCCGGGTGCCCAAACCGAAGCAGGTGGTTTTCTTAGGGGACCACACCCCGAGCCTTTGACCAAAAGGTCTGATCCACAAGGCAGTGGAGCATCGTGAGGAGATGCAGTCCCATGGTTGCCGTTGACCAACAGCAGGTTCTTCCGCCATTCGTTCCATCAGGATACTGGAGCCCATGTGCACCATTGGTTTGGAATCAGGGTTTTCCAACTCCCCTAGGTGGGCCCTCCGTGTCCACCAATCCGGTTATAGTGCCGGACATTCGCTTTTCGTCCTCTCACTTTCGTAAACAACACCCCCGCCACGAGAAGGCAGTGAGTAGGACTTCCCTGGCAGAGGCTATATATTCGCTGGCCATATGAGAGCATTTCGAGAGGGAAAGTAGACTCTCCCCACTCTCGGCCGTACCAGGGCATTTGGGGGCATCATTTCATCACTTATTTCAATGTATCATGGTGTCTATACCATTAATTGAGTGGGTAAGGCGACAGTTTTGACCTTCAGATTTCTTACGAAGAATATCGTTTGGATTTTTCTCTTCACTTTGTGTCCATTAACCTTGATATCAGTTTATATGAATACTGCTAGTGCCCGCAACATACAGCTCTGATGTATGCTAATGTTGGTTGGGTCAGTCAAATCTTTTTGTTTCCAACCAACTCAACTGGATCATGGCAAAAGCCAGGTGATACATATATTTCGGTTTCTACATTGCAAATGGTCGACTAAGTCCACCAGAGAACAGTTCTCAGAGTTCCACCTTTTTCATTTCTTCACCTATTTCTAACATATGATAAGAGATTCACGCATTAGGTCAATCAACGAGGTTTACCTGCTAATAATTAATAACCAGCACAAGCCCATAACGTAAGCTTTCCTGTCAATGGCCTCCAGAAAATCAACACGATAAAATGGTGTACCCTAATGTGGATTCCCTTGTGGTATTTACAACATTGCAACTTGATCTTCAGAATTCTATCCGATACCGGGATCTAGGTAGTCTGATATTAATTAACAACCACTTTGTCTAATTAAATTGAACTTCCTTAACGGTTATCAATACAACGGTGCTGTTTGATACCGTATATTTTTGTGTTACTGACTTAGTTTAATGGTAGAAATTATATTTAAATCACTAAGACTCTCAAGTCTTTATAAAAATGATTGTCCTGTGAAATTTCAAGTTTTTTCATAAGTCTACTTTAATTGTTACTATTACTATTTGTTCTGTCAATATTCAGCTAAATCAATGCCAGTTTCCGGTACACATAAATATGCTTCGAAAGTTGTATATCCCACTGAGAATAATAAGCAAAATAGTAATGAACAATTGATAATGAGAGAACAGTCAAATCGAGGGTCTTCAAATAGTTCCACTTCATTCAACAAAGTTAGTAACAATAGCAATAACATCGCAGCATCAACAGTGTCGCGTAGCGATAAAGACTTCATTAATACAGAATTATCATCTTTATCTTCGGATTCACCATGTGATTCTTCATCATCCTCTGTCACTCCACCAATGTTATCTGATGAAACTTTTCATCTGATAAATGTAAACGAATTTGAATTCGATGAATCTCAAAATGGTACTGTGAACAACTTAAAATCAAGTGTAATTAAGCCTGTTGTGACTTCAGCTTCTCTACTCTCGGTACGTGGATCAGAATCTGTTGTTGTACAGGAGACAAGCGATACGAATCCTACCAGTAAAGTAATCTCATCTGACAATAATAGTAACAAGCTGGAAAGATGTATAAATGCCGATCATCAGGTGACTTCTGTAAACGTTGGGAATGATAATTCAGAATCCACAAAACCCAGCGATTATAATTTGGAAGTTTTATTCGATAGATTAATTCGTTTACGTGAACCACATCTGGCTATTCGTATGAGTGAAATCCTGTTATACTACATATCTGCGAAATCACTTGATCCTTCAGAACGTAAAAACAAGTCAAATCTCAGTCTATCCAATAATAATAACAGTAGTAATTTTAGCAAGGGTGTAAAAGTGGTACACGATAACCCTAAATTGATTGCATTTGACCTGCGTAAGTTACCTAATTCATGCATTGAAAAATTAACAGCCCTTATTAAAGAAGATGAAGATATATTTCGAAAACACAATCTTACAACTATCAAAATCAAATGTAAAAAGTAGTATATGTAATGCTAGAAGATCTGTTCTCACTCAAGACGCTGGCCGTAATGATAACTTTCATAATCCCGATAGGCGTTATGAGTGTAGTGATCACAGAGATTCTTCAGGATCTGGAGATCCATAGTAATTGTTTGCTTTATGTTTGTGATAATCCTTCATCCTACAATTTTTTTAGTTTTACCTCGACACTAAAACAATTGTACATGTAAAAGTGGTGCCACACTTTTTGTCTTGTACATTATGTTTCCATATATACTAAATTTCTACGTCTTTCTTGTCTTATCATTATTTTGTGCACAGATACGTGTTTTAGTTTATTTGTTTTTCTGAAAACAAACTGTACATATACTCGAACTTTTCAAAGTTTATTGAACTTTGCTACTCGTTTAACTTGCTCAAAATACATATCATTAAACGATATACATTCGTAGAATTTTGTGTTGTATTTCTGATTTTCTGCAATTTTTCACACTTGATGCCTTACAACACAGTCGTAGTGTATACTTCAGTACACGAAGCTCCTTTGTTTTTTCATATAAGTTTCATTTCGAGAATTATCTTGTTCTTATTTTTATCTAATATGTGCTCCGGAATATCATTCGCTGTATGTTTAGAGTAAGTAGCTAACGTGCTCGGCAAAATATACTGTCTCAGTAAAGCTTTTTAAGTTGAGTGAATTGAGTTACATCATTGATATGCGGAAATGTGTCATACAACTAGACAAGAAGTCTGACAAAGCATTGTTTGATGGAGCCTTTATTTTCATTTTCTTGTAGTTTAGGTAGAGATAAGGTCTATCCTTGCTGCTTTCAAATGTAGTTCCTGTTACACAGTAGCACCGACTCGTGGGATTCTGAAAGCCAGGGAACACAAGGTCATTTTTTTATAGATTAGGACTCCTCGGTGGTAGACATGTCTGACCAGACAAAAGACCTAATCAAGGGTCAACTACCTTGGCTACTGTGTTACCTTCAGGCTAATGCGTTGAATTATGACTCTATATTTCTACTTGTCAGTCTGTAATGTGACACCAGCCATCTTTCGAATTTGCTACCGTATGTTGGAGATCAAATCCTAGTTTAGGAGACCAAGTGTTTTCCTTATATTGGTCTTACTACCTTAACAGCTGTAGGGTTTTCTTGAGCATTCCTGAAGTAGTTAACTTCCGGATTGGTCTATTCTAGTTTGGGGATTTCATATTTCAGAGGGGGTTTTGTGGATGACTTGCCAATTGTAGCAAAGTCATCCTTTCCACTTTTCTCAAACGACATAAAGATTTGTAGACCCATACACAGAATGTCAGATAGAATAATAAAGCAGAACGACCAAAATTCACTGGTTGAATGGATGTATAGGTAATTGCTAGAGGTTGATGCTAGGACTGTGGTGCTCTAAACAAATAATTGAGGAGGTTCATATCACCATATAATATGTGGAGTTGTGTTAATTCCACTGCTGAGTATCACGTACTGCTTATGTCTCGATACAAGTAGCATACACCACACTACAACTTGTGTCAACCGTACCGATTAGTTTATTATGTTTCCTGTATAAATACACTGTAAGTAACCCACTTCCAGCAAACTTATACTGACCACCCCGAGGCATGAGTTCTGGTTACAAAATTAGGAGGACGAAAGGCAAATTTTCTGCACTTTAACCAGGTTGGTGAGTACGGACAATTTTTTAGAGGAAATTGAAAACACTGGTCTCAAACCAATGGTGCACATGGACTCTAAAATTCTTAGGGAACAAATGGTGTCGGTCACCAGATACCATGTGACTGCATCTTCTAATGTTACTTTACTGTCTTGCGAATATGACTTTGAGATCAAAAGCTCGGATAATGGCCATTGAAGAAAATACACTGCTTCGTTTCGAGGATCCAGGTAGTATCATTGTCCACACATAAACTAAATGATGACTACAATTGGAAAAAACTGTCCATGATGTGATCAACATTCTCTCAAATCATACGCAACATTAGTTGTTAATACTTGTCTTTATTTTACGTCGGATCACATGTCTATTCCTTTGCTCGCATTTTGTATATTCCTTTAATTTTCGCCTCATGACAGCTCGCCTATGGTGTAAATCCTGTCCTATCTAAACGTCCTGATGTCACTGACTGACTGGAAGTTGAACGCTACCACCGTCTGCGAATTCTGAACCAGTCTATCTGAAACCGTGTATGGCGCCAAAACGAGCTCCCTTCAACATTCTCACACTAATGCCGATAGCATAAGAGATAGGGTTGGTTACGCCTCTAAAACGTCTTCTAGCGATATGTGAATTCTCGAAATAAACTTGCAATCTCCGACATTGATGCTGAACTCATTAGTCTTACTGGACACACTCTAGCTGAAGAAGTTCGGTTATGCATCCTTACAAGATCACGAGTAACTAAGGCGCAATGAGCATCAGATTCAAGCACCATCTGGCTTGGACCAAACGCCTCTCAACATATCTACAAACTTGCAAATATATCTCATTCATGCATGAGTTTTGATTTGACTTGGCTGGCACCCTTTGATTCTAGTAGTAATACGGAAAAAAGCGTCGTCAAACCTTTACAATGTGTAGTATCTTCATTCTTAACATCCTTGTTTGTTGCTTATCTGAGACTCGCGTTCAATACTGTAGTGAGGTACTACAATTTAGCTTTCTACCTATAGCCTCCGACGGCCTATTTTGCATGGGTTTATCCGGTGACCCTATAAAATCTGGTTTTCCTGGCGTCGTCTCACAAAGTGGTATGACTGAGGTAGCAGTAATCGGTTGGAGTTTCGTTAACTATCGATTATTCGCTGTTGTGTTAATTAACTCCATCAGAGTGGGAAGATTCGGTGTTAGAACCAATGTCTTTTAATCATCTCCACCTACGCTCTGATAGATTGTAGCCTAGATGCGATGAAGGTATTGTTTCCTAACCACACGATCTCTGAGGCTGAAAATAAAGTAACTGAAAAAAATTACATTGAGTGAAAGAAGTTTTCTGATTGTATTTTCTCTAAATAAACTGCCTCTCCCATTATTTTAATTATTACTATTGTTGATATCATTTCACCCTCACACACTAACTTCTATTCAGTTTTGTTATTGTTTATAGTAATTACTATTCTCTTTCTATCACAACCTCATTTCTTTCTGTGGCGCACTTATATTTTTGTACCTCATTGTACCAATATTTATGTATCCGAATACATAGATGATTTTACAGGCGCTGATGTTACGTTCCTGGCAATGAATTCGAGTTGTTCACTTTTCGATGTGATAAAAGGAGGTCCTGACTTGAATTGTTTGGTCTCGGTTTTAGAACTTTCTTGGAATATTCTTCCAAACGATTAGTCTTAGACAAAAAGTAAAGATAAGATATATTAGCGTCAAAAGCATCGCTAGGAATACGGTTAGCCAGTAGTAAATCACCTTTTAACTTTGTAAAGAAACGGAACTAGGTTGAGACGTCTCAGGTCGTCTTCACAAGACAGTCTAGAGGGACCTTTCGTGATTTTGGTCCCTGACATATTAGCTCCATATTTCAAATAGTGACTCATTGATGAATCTCATATTCCAAATATTCAATCTCCATGGTCGAGAGTGATACCCTAAATATTCCTTTGTCCAAATACTGAAATGATTTATGAATAGTTGATAAAACTCTGAAGCTTTCAGCAGCGTCAGCCTTACAGTTCTAAGGTCACTGAATATTATGACTCCCAGATCTTTGTAGTTCATTATCTTAATTAACACAACTCCACATATTATATGGTGATATGAACCTTCTCAATTATTTGTTTAGAGCACCACAGTCCTAGCATCAACCTCTAGCAATTACCTATACATCCATTCAACCAGTGAATTTTGGTCGTTCTGTTTTATTATTCTATCTGACATTCTGTGTATGGGTCTACAAATCTTTATGTCGTTTGAGAAAAGTGGAAAAGATGACTTTGCTACAATTGGCAAGTCATTCACACAGAGTAGAAATATAGAGGACCAAGGATCTTGCTCTCAAGATCTCCACTATTCACAGATTCTCAAGTTGACAAAGCACCGTTCACCCGCATCCGCCGTCTCCTATAACTGAGAAAGTCATTTACCCTTCTCACGATTTCATAACAGGTGCTAAATCTTCCCAGATTTGATCCAACACACAAATGAGAGACATTGTCAAAGACTTTACCGGGATCTTTGAACACGGGGTCTACCGGGATATTACTATCTTTCACTGCCGCCCAATCTTTTCGTGAAATTAGCAGATCTGTCAAGTATGAAAAGCCTTTCCTACAATCGTATTTTTTCTCGTCTAAAGATCGCCCCTTTATATATAGTTCAGAATTGGCGCCCGAATAATACTTTCTAATAGTTAAACAACCACACTTGTTAGATTAACAGGTCGAAAGTAACTGACTAAGTGTCTTCTCCCCACCCTATTGACCGGTTTAATAGGTGTGTACTCCCAGTATTTTGACAGTCTGGATCGTATCATTGATATATCGAACCGTATGTGAAGAGGTTCAGCTAACGAATTCGACAGAGCTTTCATAACACTAAGGTGAATATCGTCAGGACCACTAGAAATATCTGGTTTGAGAAGTTGACTTAATCGTAAGAGAGTTTCTTTCTCAGTGACCACAGGATCCATCGACACGCTGCCGTGATCACGAGTAACTGTTGGTCGATCGTCGTCGGCAGTAGAAAACACTTCACTAAAGCATTCTGATGAAGCTTCAGCTTTTGCAACATCGATTCTTGCAAATATCAACGGGTTTCTTTGTGTCGAAATTGGTGATGCTACGACACTTCTCTGAGTTCTCCTCTTTGTATTAGAGTGCAACTCGTTCTGAACTATTTTCACATTTTCTACCCGATTTGTTTTTCATACGAAGTCCTAACCTTAATGGATAATGCTATGCATGCATTTCAAGTCTCACATTGTGTGTGTCTGAACTTTTCAGAGGGTGAATATTTAAAAATGTTTGGGTTTGGATATTTGATTTACTGGGCATGCTCCGTTGCAGTTATCGGGAGCCTACTACGGAAAGATTTCCGATACTACGGTGTCCATCTCATTTCAACTAATATCAGGTGCATTAAGATCTAGTTTCAGATATCCGCCACTTTTACTCCATAGATGAATAAGCTCTAAAATAAAGACATCAACCAATCAGATGGGGTTACTATAGATGACATGGAGTATGGATGTATAACATTCAAATATGAGTTCACAGCTAGTGACTTTACAAGTTCCACTGTCATGGGATTCTCAAAAGAAGGAACAGCTGTAAACATTATTGCTGATATTTTTTGCAAATTGAACGCCATAGTCGGTTCCTAAGTTGCTCTTGCAACTGACAAGCTAAATCTACACAGCAACTTGAACACAAGAGAAAAGGCACAAAATATGCAAGAAGCACTTCATTCCAGAGGGTTCATTCATCTGCCGAAATCATAGCGCTTTTTTAGTAATTGGGAAGTCTCTGGGTTTTCACGAAAGTACTGGAATGCCACTTAAAATAGTAGCAGCAAACTAATCAGCCAATCAGAAACTCTACGTGTGACTTTTCACATTCGTGATGTTTCTGGCAAACCTTCTAGTAGCACTGATTAGATAAAATGCTTTTTAGTGTTTCCTGAGTCTTTCTTGTCGCTTACGAGAGGTTTTATGGATCACCCCAACAATTAGCTGTGTATATGTGGACCTCATCTCATTTCCTGTATTTATTCCTATTGATACGTGGACAGTTGACTACCAATAATTCCAGAGTAACATCAAAGTCATTGGCTAATCAATGTTCGGTCATAGTAACGATGAGTGACTTTGATTCGTCAACTAATGCTCCTAGTTCATATAATTTAATAATCAGACTACAAGCATTTGCATATAAAACTCCTGAAGAGAATAGCCGATCCATACAGGTACTATTAGCATTTTTTCCGCAGAGTGACTACTAGAGAACACGTTTTTTTCATGATATTGTAGACCGTTTTCCAGTGTAGCTAGTGGTGTCTTTTTACTAATTATATTTCTAGATCTATGTCAGTTCTTACTCTAATTCTGGTACTATCGTGACTTCGAGAGTTATTTAACAAAATATCTCGTTATTTATCCGACCCTAAGATTGCTTCAATGGGTCTGCTTTTTCCAAAATTCTCTGCATTCCTCTTCCTCATTCATAATTATTTTTTGACTTGTTATCCTATATGGCTATCCGGTAAAACACTACTAATAAATAACACGATCTTCTTTGTATGATGCACGAGGCTCATTTCTATAATTCACAGTCTGCCGTTTTACTTGTTTACCAACACTTTCTGTATAGATACAGTTTTCTGTACGGGTGCTACTTTTACGATGCTCTGATCAACGTCCGAATGACCATAGCCTCTCTGAATATTCATGTTTTAATCGAACGGAAAACATTGAAATTCAGTGAGAATTGAGCACTTTACCACTTAGTAGGTTTTGAAATGAAAAAAACACATATTGTAACTACCATTTCACATATCACATTACATTCTTTAATAAATAGGTCAGTAACAATTTGGCTGTCCACATTTACAACTACAGCCGAACAGATTTTATGGGGAAAACTCGATGCAATCAAGAAAGAAAATCCCTGAACGATTGAAGTTAATTTCCACTTTTCATTGTAATTTTGACATTTCACCAGTCAACCAACCGAAAGAATGCAATAATTATTATGTACACTGTCGTAAACCTTAATGGATAACGATGAATCAAGAGTCACCGTTAGCTAAAACTTGAAGACAACCGCATACTGTCGTTCAATACCCACCAAAAGATTTGGAACCCTATGGTCAATACGTAGGGCCTTTAGCTATGTCGATGCTAAAGCTTTTTTGTTTTTGTATAAAATATTCATGAGTCCTAAATTTGAGTACTGAATACAGGCGGCTGGCCCTTGCTTAAAAAAGACAGTGAGCTTGTAGCGGCAAATAAATTCCCAAAATCAATAGCTCTGTAAGTGTTCGACATTAAATGCTGACTACGTTAATTTAAAAGGACTCACCTAGCTGAATGCACTCTGTCATGCATCTTCACCAGATGACGAGTGGGAAGGTCATGCCCAACTTCTCATCCTATCACTAGCCATTTTAGATCCGTCACTTCTCGATATATTGATAATCTATCAAATATATCTTCCAACCTCCTGGTTTCTGACTTTTGATTTCACTGGGTGGGCGCAATTCAATTGTAAGTGTTGCTGGCAAAATGTTGTCAAACTACAATAAATGTGGCATCGTCAAGCTATTAGAAAAGGTTCAGAGAACAGCAACTAAGCTGATTACCGAAATAGCGAAGCTTCAATATGATGCTCCACTGGCTAAGCTAAACCTATTCCCGTTGTCATATCGAAGAACTAGAGGTGACTTGATTACAGTTTTAAAATTACCTAGTGATAAACGTGAGACTAACACAGGCCATCAAGCTTCCTGTCCTTTACAAACGGAAACTGAAACTGTGTGCTTCATTCTGTCATTTTTGGTGACTTATACGGACTAGGTTGCACTACGATGAATAACCAACGTCGAATATCAGTTCCGAGTGCCCAGATTTTGTGTTCTCGAGACCTTTTTTGACTTAAAAAGGCTTCCAACCGCTAGAGTTTTTTATTTACATTTTTAAGGACTGTTTAGCGCTGTCAACTTTCAGTCTATTTTCGTGGTGGCTCTTGAATTTTAAGGTTTCTTGCTCGTGACTGAAGGCCATCCCTCAAGGTTGTACATTTATATGCTGTGGTTATGATCCCCGGTGGCGAGTCTGGCAATGATGTATGTGTTGATTTTGGATTCATGAATTTTTCCAGAAAGACACAAAGCAAAAAGAGGATGCGGAGAAAAGAAATCAGGAGATTCGTACCAGTATATTAGCACAAATTCTCGATCAGGATGCAAGAGCACGTTGTAAGTTCAATGATCATGCATTTTCTATTCATAGTGAATACCATTGCGATCACGAAACCAGAAAAAGCTAAAATGGTTGAAAATATGCTAATCAGCATGGCTCAAACTGGACGTCTTGGACCAAAGGTATTTATATTTTGTAAAGTATTGCTGCGAGTGTAGTAGCAAGTGTTGAGAATGGACATTGTAGTTAACCTTATAAAAGTTACTTTTAGGTTTGAAGTGTTTTAAGTGGGTTTTTCAGTGATATTCGGTTAATCGTACATGCGAATTCAGTGTACTAGTTATCAATCGACGTACTCTTTCGAAAACGGTCAGCTCGGAGAGCATTGTTTCCAAATGAAACAATAACGTTATCACTGACTAAAGGATTGCCATTTTTTTAGTGTTTTTATCTAAGAATCTTAAGGAACAAACCGTTTGTTTGGACGTTATAAACTACTTGTAACTTTCCGTAATACAGGTTTAGGCTGCAAAACTTTTTAACCGCAAGAATTTTACCTCTTAATTACTTACGATAGCGGGTGTTATAGCAGAACGTGAGCACTAATGAGAACTAACAAGCATGTGTAGTGCATATTTCATACATTCGGGACCACAGGAGTTCACAAAGGTATGGATCTGTTTTGTTCCTTTCCATTTATGTTACTATTATGATCTCTTCTAAACGGTTGTATAAAATGGTGCTCATTCTAAATATCCTAGCATGAAATCCGACTAGATTAGTACCTGTTACAAGAAACAAAGCTCTAGACCCATTACTTTGTTCTCAGGCGACCTCCAAATGCCCTGCCGAGAGTGGGGAGAGTCCGCGGCGAGACTAAAGAACATGGACGACCTTTGAACGAATCTTAAATGACCTTGAGAAATATTAGCCAATCAAAAGACAGTTAGCATACAGTAAAAATATATTATATAAAACTCAAAAATTAAAGGGAATACTGTTCTTTTACATGGTTCAAAAACTTCTCAAGGTCAGATATAGGTTCAGAAGTTCTAAAATCATAGTGCATCCGGCACAGGAACTCATCCCTGTGGCTCCATAGTAGTCAACCTCTGGAACCATGATAAAGTCCCGAAAATTCTTTCAGCCTCGACCACATAGTTTCAGTGTTGTCGGTATGTTGGTATGGTTTAGGGTTTAAGATTAGGGTTAAGGTTTAGGGTTAAAGATGAGACTGTGAATTATGGACGACATTTGAGCGACGCTAGAGTGAATCTGAGAGTGTCAACGTAATAACTAAGACTAAATGAGGGTTATAAACCCGTGTAAAGAATTCAAATTATGATTTACAGTTCATGGTTAAGGTTAGGAATTATACCTAGTGTTTTCATCACGAACTGACATCAGCTATAATGCCACAACTCTATCCAAATGTATAATTGAATTTTGCGCCAAAATCTTATGATAACTTATCTTGTAGACGCTTAATTATCATGTTTTCTCTAAAATCCGTTGTAAACCGACCGTACGCAAGCGTCAGGTACCGACCTTAGCGCCGTGACCTTGAAAACCCGCGAAAGTTTCTGATTGGCTCGTCCATGTTCTTTGGTTTCGCCGAGTCCGCTCTCCCTCTCGAAAACCTCTCACATGGCCACGCGTATATAGCCTCTGCCAGGGAAGTTCTACTCATTGCCTTCTCGTGACGGGGGTATTGTTTTAGAAATTGAGAGGACGAAAGGCGAATGCCTGGCGCTTTAACCGTGTTGGCGGACATGGAAAGTTCACCTAGGGGAGTTGGAAAACCCTGACTCCAAACCAATGGTGCACATGGACTCCAGTATCCTGAAGTAACAAATGGCGTATGAACCAATCGCTGGTTACCGGCTACCATGGGACTGCATCACCTCACGATGCTCCACTGCCTTGTGGATCAGACCTTAAGGCTCCGAGTGTAGCCCCCTAAAAAAAGCACCGGTTTCGGTTTTGACACCTAGGCAGTATCATAGTCCTCACACAAATGAAATAAGATTTGTGTGGCGCATATGTATCTAGTGCCCCTTTGTACCAGTATTTATGTGTTTAGTAAATAAATAATAAATCTTAGGCTAAGAATGTAGTTTTCTTCCAGTAAATGTGGTCATGGAAGAAATATGTTTAAGTATTATAAGCTGACGCAATTCATGATAGATTTTACCATTTGAATTCAATTTCATGACTTTAAAAATTATCAGAACAAAAAAAAGACTTTTGAAATTGGTCATTTATTTTTTTTATACAGTTGAAATCATGAATCAATTGAAGCTAGACCACCATGGAAAACCTGGAAGCACTGGACGGCCGTGATTTCAACTATATAAAATTACTAAAATCTCCATAAAACGCCCTTCTGATTTATTTTTCAACGAATCTTGCGAGAGCGGGTTCGTGAATGTGCACTGCTGAGGAGTCCCATAATAGAACGAAACGGCCGTCCAGTGTTTCCAGGTTTCCCATGGTGGTCTGGCTTCAATTGACTCATGCTTTCAACTATGAAATATAAATATTACTGTATATTAAAGCCTGGTGAGGATCTAATCGAAAACAATATTGATTGCTTATATATGTTATTCTAAATCACAATATGGGAATATTTTAAATTTTGAAAAACGCAATTCATGATAGATTTTACCATTTGAATTCAATTTCATGACTTTAAAAATTATCAGAACAAAAAAAGACTTTTGAAATTGGTCATTTATTTTTTTTATACAGTTGAAATCATGAATCAATTGAAGCTAGACCACCATGGAAAACCTGGAAGCACTGGACGGCCGTGATTTCAACTATATAAAATTACTAAAATCTCCACAAAACGCCCTTCTGATTTATTTTTCAACGAATAATATATAACAAAAATACGAATAAAATCAAGTTGTTCATAAAACCTTTCTGACCGTGAAAGATCCTTAATATTAACGAATCAAAATATATAATGTTCATTAGAAGAAATAGACTTCATCAATGATTAAATAATTTGATTGAAATAAGAAGAAACCCATAAATAAGATGGTGGTTAGAGATTTTCAACATCTCAAGCCTACAGGAGGTCAGTCATCAATCAATTGTAAACCAGTCAATGTTTAGAATGTTATAACTATGCTTACTTAATATGCTGTAAATAAAAGTATGTAATACAGTTTAAATTTTATCAGAAACCTTGGTAAAAGTAAAATATATATTGACAAGAAAATTATAACCAAGGAAATCAATATAAGGTTACTGAGAGAAGTTCTAAAATGAATGAATTATGTCTTATATTATGAGAGCGAAGATGATGATTTGAGCAATTGATAAGTTTAAAACTATTAAAGCAGATGGTACCTGATACTCAAATAAACAGCGTCACTTAATCTTGACCGTAACCATCTAATCTAAACTAAATTCATTTTCTACAACCCTAAATCTTTAATCTTAACTTATTCACTCTGCTCAGCAACAATCTAGGGATTACGACCATTTCTTAGTTCTTAAAACTGTTTGAGTAGACGAGCATTCTATATCCATACGGATGAATTCCTATTGCATGATATTTTCGATTTGCAGACAGAGATGAAACTATAATATGCTGACGACCATGAACAACTTGTCAGCCAGTCAACAAACGCTGGAATGTGAAGTAGTAAAATAACAGTGGAATAACAGCTTGGATTCAAATAATTAACTCACACATGTCAAATATCCATCGTAGAGGAAATAGGTCAGTTTTACGTATACGTTGATATACATATTTTAGGAGTCGGATTAGTGTCGTGAGTTGGGGTAATCACCTTATAGGACTTTTTTCACCAACTGGAATCAATTCTAATCCCAAAATAGGTTAGGGTCAAGTATTAAGTGTTAAACTGGAGTTTTGAGTTAGTTTTACAAAGTTGGATCAAGGTTTCCAACACGAACTGATACCAACTATAATCCAGTGCTTCACCACCTCTCCGTTTACAAACTTCAGTAATTTCGAGCTGACATTCAGAGTAAGCGTAAAAATGGGAGAACATCATTCAGCTTCCCTAAACACTTGATTACGCAACAAACGACACCAAGTACTTAAACACAGTCTGCATTAGGATCATGTATGTTGTGTAATTAATGTCAATCATTACCGAAATTTACGTTTTTGTTGCAAAATAGATATGTTTATTGACTTCAAGCATTTTACAGACCAAGTATCGCCATTTTTCATTTAGTCAATAACAACATACGTGATCACAGTACATTGAATTTTGCACAAAACACAAGAGGTACTATCCTAATTGTTACTGGTCAACTTAAGGCCTTCGGTCAATAGTTTTATAAAAAATTTTCTCATTATTTTGGAAAAGTATACTCATCACAATTAATATAATGTGACTAGTGTATATGACATGTAAAAATGTAGATAGTCTGAACCATTATCTTCCAGTATTAACATTCTCGAGTTATTGTTAATTAATATTTCAGGAAACCTTGATTATATCCATACATCTTTAGTAGGTTTAAATAAATTATATATTTATAATATCCCAATGAGTAGAAAAATTAGATTTTCTGACGTTTCGTGACTCAGTGTAAGCCACTTCTTCAGAGAATAAATAACCAAATTAACATTAATCCAAGTTTAAATAGTACAACGGAACAATCAAAGAGTATTAGGTGATCAATCAAAAAACAAGTCTGAGTAGATTAATGTCACGTCATTTCATTTCGGTCAAGGTGATTCATAAGCGACATGGATGTAATTTTGTGTGTATGTATGCACTGTTAATAATGAAAACTGTGTGACCTTTATAATTACAAAGGATAGAATTTGATTTGTAATGTAATGGTGTGAAATTGTAAATAATATCAGACTGAGTGACTAGGATAGATGGTCCAAGTAGGCTGTATGGTAAGAACATATCAGGTACACAAAGAAACCTCCTAATAATCCTGTAGAATTAAGTAGACTTCAGATTAAATCGGCAATAGCAGTTCACGCCATTTTCAACAGTCATCAAATTGATTTCGAAAATATCAAAATACTACAGAAAGGTTTTTTCAACTACAAAGAAAGAAGAGTAGCTGAAGCTTTCCATATAATGCTTAATCCCATAGCTCTCAATAGAAAGGAAGGCCTTACCATACAGCCTACTTGGACCATCTATCCTAGTCACTCAGTCTGATATTATTT